CTAGCTTTTGGCAACTGTTTCCGCAACTGCTCGCAACCAGTTCGGAATCAAAATCTCGAAATAAAAAGCCAAGTGCTGCTGGTTCGACCGAGTCGGTATTCAAATCAATTTAATCTCTTCTTCTTTTCAATTTCGATATTCACCTATTAAATGCATGTTCTTCCTCTTTCTCTATCGTATTCACATATCACATGTATGTTCTTTAGCAACAAGCTTCTGTCAGTATGTCGTAAATGCAACAATTCAATAGCTTAATGCTACAAATTCATTTTACTTATACAAAATACTAATTGCTCCCGGCTATAAGCCCTTTGCGCTAATTTGGCGTAAACAGCCACTAAAACTGGTCATTGGGACAATAGTGCATTTGCACCTCAGCGGTGTTTTGTCAAATTTTAAATAGGCAGGGGCCGGAGTGAAGCAGAAGCAGAGTGTGAATGAGAGAATGTGAAAGGAAAAACAAAAGCTGCTGGACAGGGTGGGATTAGCCACAGCAAATTAATTCCTTTATTCTGGCTATAATAATGATCCGATCGGATCCCAATTTGGTGATCTGATAGATATGGCCATTTCCTACGGAATGGCGTTTTTAGTTTTCTTTTATCTTCAAAATTGTAGATTTGGTAGGTTTTCGGCTTTTTGCGGGGACGGAAGGCGGCGTGGCTCATTTTTGAAATACACTGGTTTCAGTGTGAGCATATAGCAGTCTGGAAGCAAAATTTGGTGGCTCTAGCTCTTATAGTCTCTGAGAACTAGCCGACAAACAAGACGGACAGACAGACATGGCTCTAAGGACTCTGCTATTGATGCTGATCAAGAATATATACACTTTATGGGGTCGGAAACGCTTCGTGTGCGTTACATACAACCGTTATTCGCACAAATACAATATACATAAAAATGGTACTAGTACTAGTACTAGTACCTAGTACTAAGATCGAAAACCACGTTTGCTAGCAAACTGTGCAACATATTTTGCTTGCAGTAGAGTGTCTCAATAAAATGGAGGCAATAATGCCGCTGAAGTTTAGAGATAAGTGACCACCGTGCTTTTCAACGAGCTTAATGCCATCAAACGGCAAAAAAGGAAACTATTATAGATTAATGAGATTATATTGAATTTATTTGAATTTTTAATTTGTTTAATTTATTTGAACGCCAGTATCTTCATGTTGCCAAGACATGGACCAGGCTGGGCTGTTAACAAAATGTTTTAAGTTGTTTTCCTTTTGTGACCAAGTACTACTCCACAAGGTCGTGCCAAGGGGCGATGGCGACAATTCGGACTCGAAACTATCCAATTTTGAATAGGAAGGATGCTTGGAGGCGCCGTTTTACAACTTTGGCACGGGCGCAAATATTCCTTGACACTGCCTTGCTGCTCCACCAATCAAAGAAGGCTACAGATGTTATTCCCAGACATATGCAAATTCTCTGTCATATTTTCAAACTGCGAAATATGCAAAGGGTATCATTTCATGGGTTTCTATAAATGTACACATATTTATATTATTTATAATACTCAAATGGACAAACGACCCTCCCGGTTTATTTCCTGCTGATATGGGTTTAATCAAAGTTGTCGGCGCTTATTTCGTTGATTGTCGTCCTCCTCCTCTAATGAAGAATAGTGCTTTTGCACCTCAGCGGTGTTTTGTCAAATTTTAAATAGGCAGGGGCCGGAGTAAAGCAGAAGCAGAGTGTGAATGAGACGTGAAATAATGCAAGACGCATGGATCCATTTGCATTCATTGTTTTATTAACCTTTTATTACATTTTTCACACATTTTTAAGGTAAACAAAACAACACAGCTGCCTGAGAAGTGTAACCGTACGGAATGCTGTTTTCACCTCTGGTCACACTCGGCTGCAAGCAATCTGCAATCGATCTGAGTACTGATTTTATTTAATCCACAAACTTTTGGTTTAAAAACGAGAAGTGACGTGTAAGACGCTTCTCAGTAGAATATCTGTACCTTGACGATTTTTGTCAAATTTTAAATTTTTTTAAATTTTGTCTACATCTTTCATCAACATCTACATCTACGTAACTTCTCACGCCAACACGCACTTTTAGCTCGCCCCCCTCCCCAAGAACCGCAAACTGCAGAGACAGAGGCCGAACACTGTAGAAGCAGAGTGTGAATGAGAGAATGTGCAAAAAACAAATAAAAGCGGCGGGACGGGGTGGTTAAACCCACTTGAAATGAATTCCTTTATTCTGGCTATAAAAACAATCCTATCAGATCCCAAATCGGCGATCTGATAGATATGTTCATTTCCTACGTAATGGCGTTGTTAGTTCTCTTTTATATTCAAAATGTAGCTTTGTATAATATCGTCCTTTTGCGGGGGCGGGGCTAATTTTTGAAACTATCGTGATATCGACCACTACCGAGACTTTAAACCATCGATAGTGAACTGGGTCGATAGTGTCCAACCATCGATAATACCGATAGAACTCCACCACTATTTCCAAGCAAATGTAAGATACTTAATTTAAGTGAAAAAACAAACCGCTACCTCTGAAAAAACCGTTACACAAAAAAACCAGACCATAAACTCTAAAAAACGAGAAGGGACGTGTGAGACGCATCTTACGCATCACAACTTTTATACCCAGCAGTACTACTACTACAGGACCTTAGCGGTGTTTTGTCAAATTTTACATATTTTTTTCATCTGTCATCTACAACACTTCTCACACCAACTCGCTCCTTTAGCTCGCCCTCCTTCCCTAGACCCACCCACTGCAGACTTGCGGCAGAGGCAGCGCCCACACACAAAAAAAACAAACATAAGCTGGGTGACGGTTTGGGTTAAAAGTCCGCAGAGGGACGGCAGAGGCAGAGGCCGAGTGAAGCAGACGCAGAGTGTGAAAGAGAGAATGTGAAAAGAACAACAAAAGCTGCGGGACAGGGTGGGTTTAGCCACTGCAAATTAATCTCTTCATTCTGGCTATAATAATGATCCAATCGAATCCCAATTTGGTGATCTGATACATATGGCCATTCCCTACGGGATGGCGTTATTAGTTTTCTTTTATCTTCAAAATACAGCAAAATTTGGTGGCCTAGCTTCTGTAGTCTCTGAGATCCAGGCGCTCAACAAGACGGACGGACAGACATACAGACGGACAGGCAGACATGGCTCAATCAACTCGGCTATTGATGCTGATCAATACTATATATACTTTATGGGGTCGGAAACGTTTCCTTCTGCGTGTTACATACATTCACTTTGTGCACAAATACAATATACCCTATTTACTCTTCGAGTACCGGGTAAAAAGGTCGATTTTGTCGAACAGTGTAAATTGATAAAACAACTTGTATTTTAAAAAATGAACAAATATTGAATAAATTCAAAATATGATTAAATTTTTAATTTCTTTCCATTCTTTCTTTCCGTTGTGGGTGTTTTGTGTTTTTGGTATGTGCTGTAGTTTTTATATTTTTTTCAAAGTAATGCAGCACATGGTACTGCAACAAATTATGAAGGTCAAAATTAAATATAAAGGAAAAAAGTCAAATCTTTAATATTAGTCCTTGAAAGACATTCGATGTGTCTTATGAAAATTATTCGCTCAAGGATCAGGAATATGCTTACATGATAACACACCACTCAGTTTAAAGAATTATTAATATGACTTTGATTTTAAAAGTTTTAAAATTCAAGTTACGGAATATCTCTTATTTCCAACCATTAAAATGCATAAAAAATAGCTCTTATATTTGATTTTAATTAAAAAAACCTAATATTTTAACTCTTATTTTTTATTTATAAAATATAAATTAAAAATAGCTCTTAATTCTTATTTTTATTAAAAAATTGAAAATAAGTTTTATGTGTAACTTGTATATAAAAAATTGTAAAATAATGTTCAGATTGCAATTTGTACCTTAAAATTTATAACAGTTACTGTCTCTGGTCTGAAGCCATGTGTCAGGGATGTGTCATTGGAAGGAAATGCTTTCAAAGATCCGCTTGAGCCAGTTTATGGATCTTTCGCCAGCGTGAATTAATTGTGCTGACATTATTCCATCTGGTACCGCGGACTTGGTGGACTTGAGGCTTTTAATCGACCAGGATATATTCTCGTGGCTTAAAAGGCGTAGAATAGATCTTGAGCAACTAGAGGGAGCAACTTGTTTTCGATGCAACCTGGGAAATGTGTGTTGAATAGGCGATTTAGCGATTCGTCATTGGCGTTTTTTCAGATAGCCCAAAGTTTGTGTTACCTTAGAGAGTAATTTAAGTAATTGGCTTTCCAAAGTTATTTTTACAAAGGACTCAGGGAGCAGGCGGTCCAGCTGCACTGAGAATCGGATCCAGTTGCTCCGCCTAAGGTGCCAGAAATGCACTGGGCTCGATACAGTAAATGAGAAGACAGTTACCAGGTAGTTTTTCTTCAGGAAAAAATATTTTCTGTATCATAGGTTCTCACCCCGTTCATTTATGTCGGAGCTTTCCCTCTGGCAGTGGTGCGCGTTGGCATCGCATCCCACCAGCAGGACGATGTCTCTCGTCTCGCAGTCTGCGATAAGAGCACTTAGGGTCGTGTGCGGAGGAAGGTGTGGCTGGTCTTGCCCCATGTACATATGTCGAGCATATCCTCATCAGCTATGGATAGCTTATAGACTTGAGTCCTCAGAACGGATACCCTGTTTCCAAATATCCAGGGTTCCTGAATGATGACTATATCGGCTCCACCCTTGGCTGGGTGGAGCAAAACAAACGTTATTTTAAATATATTTATATTATAGGCTAATATGTTGAAATGTGCTAATTCAGAGCAAAACTACGGTTTTCATTTGTCATCAGTTGTTTTTTGCTGTGTGGGTGGTGCTACATGGATTCGGAGTTACGCGTTTCAATATCCCACCGTTCCTCTCTAGATGAATTATGTGAGGAAAAGGCTAAAAAGGAAACACAGTCACTGCTTACAAAAATATATCGAACCATCTCAACTAATCGATTGTTTGTAATAGTAATTTACGACAAAGGATAACTTATTTCCTTAAATAAAAATATGTTCTATTTATATGAATTTTCATTGGAGTTGCGATAGTCTTCTCGATATCGCAATAATAAAATCAGATTTAGAATAGTTGTGTTTACATAGAATCATACCCGCATTGGTGCTTCGATCGTACATATATCTTTCGAAAAGACCCGCCCTTATTCTAGGATAAGTTAACCCGGAAGAAATCCAGGTGCAGTTTAATAAATCAATAATAAATTTAAAAATGCGTTTGTGTAAATATGATTTTCCTCAGATTTACATATATTTGTTATATATCTCAAAAGAGCATGAGAACAGTGTTTTCTAAGCCTTGTTTACTAACGTTGTGTACGTATGTATGTGTGTATGTATATACATAGAGGTTCATATATTTACATACATGCATGCATGCATGCATGCAGAGGTGTTGTGCAGACTCATTAAGTTGGTCTCAGATTATAACGTTCACTGCTGAACTATGTAAAAAATGCAGTTCATGCATATGTATCTATGTATATATCCACATATGTGTATAACATATGTATGATTAACATTTTCAAATGAACTAAACTTTGTACCGCTAATGTGGTTTATACAGTGCCGTAACCTGAATTGTATCCGTCACCTGTGATACTCTGAAATACGGTTCGTGTCAGCAAAGTTGAATGTATTTCAACTTTCAATAGAACAAGGACAAAACAGTGATTTGGCGATTTACATTTATTTAGCTTAAAATTACATTGAACGCTGACTACAGAGACCATTTCATACATATTGAGATTACGGCTAATGTTCGAAACAAGGTTCTTTGCTGAAAAGAGGATGCTGCTACTAATGAAGCGTCTCTAATGGTATAGGTATATAGGTAATGGTATCTCGATCAATGAAATAGACTAAGGAAATTTCCACATGAAAAATAATTTTTTAAATACCGCTACGAATGAATATGCAAAAATACAGATATATTTGCGTTAGTCAAGACTTCTTGAAATGCCATACAGCAGGGACCACCATTTTCTCATCATTGGCTAAATTTATTTTCGAAAGGCCAACAAATCAAAAATATGTCTTAGACATATTACTCTCAGTCAAATCACATTCTCTAAAAATTAATCTGGCCATGGATTTCTCTTCCGGAATATAAATGTAACATATCTTGAGGAAAATCGTATGGGTCATCGGAGGGTGCCAGTGTTTCACCTGTGTTGTTTTTGAGCTGGAGCTGTACGAATGGTTTTATTTAATGGAAATATGAAAAAGGATGTATTAAACTATATTATGAGTAACAATTGGCATCCATGTGTCATTATATTTAGTCATAATTGACCCAGCCAAACTTGACCCAGCCAAAAAAATGACACAAAAATTAATCTTTTTATACCCGGTACTCAAAGAGTAAATAGGGTATATTGTATTTGTGCGAATAACGGTTGTATGTAACGCACAGAAGGAAACGTTTCCGACCCCATAAAATATATATATTCTTGATCAGCATCAATAGCCGAGTCGATAGAGCCATGCATGTCTGTCCGTCCGTCCGTCTGTCCGTATTGTTTGTCGGCTAGTTCTCAGAGACTATAAGAGCTAGAGCCACCAAATTTTGGCTCCAGACTGCTGTATGCTCACACTGAAAGCAGTGTATTTAAAAAATGAGCCCCGCCAGGGGCTCCCCGTCCCAAATCTACAATTTTGAAGATAAAAGAAAATTATGGCCACAATGAAGAAATTAATTTGCAGTGGCTAAACCCACCCTGTCCCGCAGCTTGTATTTGTTTTTTTTTCACATTCTCTCATGCACATTCTGCTTCGACCTCTGCCACTGCCTCGAGTCTGCAGTGTGTGGGTCTAGGGAAGCCCGGCAAGCTAAAGGAGCGTGTTGGTGTGAGAAGTGTTGTAGATGTAGATGACAGATGAAGAACACATTTAAAATTTGACAAAACACCGCTAAGGTGCAGATGTAGTACTGAGTGCTGGGTATAACAGTGTTGACGCGTAAGAAGCGCCTCACACGTCCCTTCTAGTTTGGATTAAATCTGCCTTATTTAAAGCTGAAACCAGCTGAAACTTTCATTACGGTTAGTAAACCTGAGTTCCATGAAGCCTGTGTAAAAATATTTGTAAAAAAGAATACGAAAGCCCAAAATTTCATCGAGGTAGTTATTGCAACCGGTACTGCTTGTGGAGGGGGCTAATATTAATTCATGGGGACCAATACCTTGGGGGAAAGATTCTTGCTAGGGCTTTTAGTCATCATAAATACTAAATGTAGCAAACAAAAATATTCATTGTACATGTTACATTTAATATTTTAATTTCACTTAATGAATCGGACGACTGTACGAATAATTTAAGAAAATTTACGAAAAAAAGGAATTTTTTGCTTCAGCTAATTTTTATAAGGATACTATAGAAGATTATTAAAAACTTTTTTCATAAACATAAAGTAAATATGTTGATCTTTGATACAAAATTAACTTTTTCTGTTTACGTTGACCGTACGCCAAGTTATAGGTGTTCAGACTAGTGTGATGATGGTGTACGAATAATAAGTATGCTTACTGTATGTCTATCTGTCCGTCCGTCTGTCCGTCCTGATCAGTGAATAGACTAAGATAGGTAACCAAGTATTGCATCCAGACTTCTATATGCTCACACTGTTACAGGTGTATTTCAAAATAGGGTCAGTTACGCCCGCTCCAACAAAGTGCGAAAATCTCCCACATTTACAATTTTCAAGATAAGGGAAAACTAAAAACACAATCCCGTAGGGAAGGGCCATATCTATCAGATCCTCGCATTAAGATCTGCTCAGATCGCCCTACCCCTTCCCCTAGATGACAGACGCAGAAAAAATATAAAATTAAAATTTTTTTAAAATTACATATGTATTACACTAAGGCATGGCTAGGCACCCATACAACGAACGCGCCGTTTTTGCGTTTGTGTGTAAAGACGCCCGCAAATGTACATATGTATGTATGTACATATGTATATACTGACTAAGTACCGGGTATAAAAGCTTTAACGTACGAGATAGAAAAGTTATTGTTTTGGCTATGCTATTTGTACTTAATTAGTTAAATCGCTCACAGAACTCCCATACAAATTGATTTGGATCGTCGAAACCCCTAAAAGATTTTGGCGGGTGCTGCTCTTTGCGTTAGAAAGAAATACATACAGACAGGAAAAACAACAAACAAAGAGTGCCATCTCTTTTTAAATTCGTCTTGAGAATCGTCACTATCCTATTTTCAAAGAACTATCCGTGCTGATAATTTGCTTTTTGTTGACAATATTCTTCCTCGTCAATGCAGTCATCTAAAAATATCATATATAAGCTGTCTGATATATATTTTAATAACAGCCCTCCTAAATATAGAGTTATAATGTATTTAGAGGTGCTTGGTTGAACCAGTACGCCGGTAATACAGTCTCTGTCAACCTGTCAACACAAGAGCTTTCGCCAAGCCTCTGCCAAGCCAGTCCTAGCGCTCGAACCCACGGACCCCGATATCTGAAGTGTCGACCTATTGCTCTAGGCCGCACTTTGATTTGCTTCGGCAGGCATAATACAGGATTTATCCAGCTCGAAAACATAAATATCATAATTTATCCTAGTTCTGGTGTACAGATAGCAAAAGGGTTCGTTAGATGAAACCCAAAAATTAAAAGAGCGGTTTTCTTGTTGTCCAGCTTCGAGTCGTCTGTGAAAATTTGTATGGTTCCATTAGGACCAGGTGGTCTCTCGAGCCAGTTGTCTCTGTGAGGGATAATAGTTTCGAAAGGAGTTGGAGCGAGTTGAGGAACTTGTACTTATTTTGTAATAACACAAGTTCCGTTTTGGAAGGATTTACGCCTCGCGATTTTGTCCATTCTAAAAGTCACGCGATCTTCGAGGTCATTGCATCGCAAAGACGTTGAGGGAATTTCCGAAAGAAGACTATGTTATGTTCTATAGAAGGAGAGACAGGGGACCTCCTTGCTGACATACCTTGACTGAGTCCACGATCCCATTGATGCCGTCACCGTCCTGCATGTAAGCAATTCATCAATGAGCATAATCAAGTGACAGTCCACCCCCAGGTCAGTCACAGCATCCGTAATGGCTCTTGGTACGACGTTGTTAAAGGCCTTTCTCGATATCGAGAAAAGCTACTAGGGAGTATTCTTTGAGTGGTATATCCGTGGATTTTTTTGTCAGCTACGCATGTTCTGCGTCTGACATAATCTGAGGATTAATGGTTTTCTGCAGTTGTAGCCCAAAATCTAACCCCTTTTTTCTCAAGGACCCAACCAACTTTTTCTGACAGAATTGAGGCATTTCATTTATGAATAATGTTTTTTTGATGATGCTTTTTGTGCGGGTTTTCTTTATACCCGGCATTCAACGAGTTAAGGGTGTAAGTAACACACAGGTGGAATCGTTTCCAACGCCATAAAGGATATACATTCTTGGTCAGCCGAGTCGATATAGCCATGGCTGTGTGACCTTCGTCCGTCTTGTTTGTAGCCTAGTTCTCAGATACTATAAGAGCTAGAGCAGCCAAATTTTGCATCCAGATTGCTGTTATCTCACACCGGGATCCACAAAGGACATCACCCCCTTGTGGCATCAACAATTGTGAAAATAAATACATATGTATACATAATGATAGAGGCAAGAAGCTTCCTGTCTTGGTTCTCAGCGCATAGGAATTAAACGAATTCGGTGTTTTCGTTTTCGTATTTATAGTTTTTCACTCTTACTTCTCTAAATTTCTGCTTGTCAAATACAGATACGCTTTAAATCTCTGTACATCTTCATATACATATATTATATTATAAAATCTAAGAATATACAATTAAAATAATACAAATTGAACTTTGTTATTTAACTTTCAGATATGATGGAAGCCGAACAAAACATTGGCGTGGCAGATATGACAACAATGACAGAAATTGACGAATCCGGAATAAACCACAATCTAAGTCTTCGATACTGTAGTGACATAATATATGTATCCTTTTAAAGTATGAAGTTAAGCACCAACTGAGCTGTTTTATATCCGGTACTCAAACAGTAAATAGGGTGCATTGTATTGGTATACGAAAGTGGATGTATGTATGTAAAAGAGCTAGAGTCACCAAATGTTGGTAAAAAAAAACCGCTAAGGTGTACTGATACACTGACAGAGTACCGGGTATAAAAGTTGTGACGCGTACGTTCCTACTCGGTTTTGTATGTAGCTGAATATAATGCACAACAGATTGGGGGGGGGGGTTTACAAAGAGCTTGCCCACTAGTTATATAAAAAATATATTGGGTAAGTAAGCTCACATGTGTATATGCTGACTAATTAGCAGGTATAAGAATAGATCCACGTCTAATTATCCAATGAAAACAACTGATTGGTTTCCGATAGAAGACGATCATAGACTTACACCGGGACAATACTTATTGCTGTAAATCCATATAAAAGCATAAGTATTTACAACAAGGTAAGATTTAAGTGAGATGTACAATTAAATAGTATATTAGTTCATAAAATTTGTTTATTGCAACCGTGGAGTGAACCAACAAAAGTAGTGAAGAAGGAGAAAATAGTAATATAGACGTCGATAGGGGAATGCTCAAAGTCGTCGAGAAATGACCTATCAAACTGAGAAACTTTAAGATTCACAGACATAAAATCTGCAAAGGGTAGACAAAGGTTTGCTGTGGGACTTAATAGGACCATAGTGATTCAACAGAACGTCATTTTCTAGGTCTTTCGGAATATAAAAATACGATAATATATAAATGAGTCTGCGGTATTTTTTGTAGCTTTGTAATACAAAATTATGATTTTTGTGTGGAATTTTTAACAGCGTCCTGATGAGCGCCTAGTACTCAGAGACTATAAGAGCTAGAGCCACCAAATTTTTTATCCAGACTTCTGTATGCTTACACTGTTACAAGTGTATTTCCGCGCGTAACAGGCTTTGGCTTGGTGTCGCATGGGCCACTTGATGGTGCAGTCATTGCATATCAACTTCCAGGCAAAAAAAATTAGCCCCGCCCCCTTCCGCCCGCAAAAGTTCGAAAACCTCCCAAATCTACAATTTACAATCTACAAGATAAAAAAAAACTAAAAACGCCATTCCGTAGGGAATGACCATATCTATCAGATCACCAAATTGGGATCCGATTGGATCCGATTGGGGGGGGGGGGGGGGGGGGGGGGGGGGNGGGGGGGACGATGCTTCCCGGTTGCGCTTTTAAAATATAAAAAAAAAGTAATTTGCATAAAGCTTTTACGAGTAATATCGAATTTGCAATGAAAACTACCCCAAACAATTATTCCATATATAATTACATTTCGATAGCATACTCAAGCGTACAAAGCCTTACCTCTAAAAATAAACAAAATTACTCGTTTTGTCGAACTTGACTAACACCATTTTTTAAGTAAGCAAACAAGGTAATACGTTAAAGTTTGTTTTTTTATATTAAAGGAACATGTTCACAAATATCACGGCCGTAAAATGGGTTATTTAGACCCCCATGTTTTTGCTCTAGCTGAAGCTGCCTATAAGAGTATTGTTGATGATCAAATAAATCAGGTAAGATTGTCTTTTCAATATTTTTACTGCGTGTAATTTACTCTAGACACTTTTAGCCATTGCACGCACTGTAGGTAAAAAGCCCGTTGTTTGACATTAATAAAAAAAAAAGAGCTAGAGCTCTATAAATTGGCATGAATGTTCATTAGACAAAGGTAGAATTTCTTAAAAAAAGCATATGCAAAATTTAAAATTTTCCGAAAAGGGGAAAAAACCGGGAAAAATGCATTAACACCACATGATTCTATAATAATTGGTTAATAACATGTAACTTGAACCTCTGTGTAGTGGTGTGCTGTGCAAAAGTAATATTCCACAGAACACACGTGCAATTTTTAGTTCCAAGCTAAAAATATTCATGAACTAAACATTGGACAATTAAAAGTCTACACACAACTATATAAAAACATGTATTAGCAATTAATTGAAATACCTCGACCTATTATTTCCTTATTTTTACTTTTATTTAAAGTGTGAAATCGAGCTACAATTAATGCTGCAAGTTGCTCAATGTTTCCCGTATTTTTTCACAAGTCAAAGCATCTCAAAATCAGCCGACTTTGAAAGCGGGTAAAAAAGTATGTTACTATTTAACTAAAAAAAATTACATGAATGCCAAAAATTCGGGCTTTTTACCCATAGTGCATTGCATGAAAGACAACTCGATAAAAAACACATTTTTTAATTTTCAAAGATAACACTTTTTTTTTACAAATAAGTTGGTACCTTTTTATATACCCGGTACTCGAAGGGTTTATTGTCGGAGTAATGTGCGTAACGCACAGAAGGAAACGGTTCAGATCATATAGCGTATGTATATTCTTGATCAGCATCAATAGCTGATTCTATGTCTGTCTGTCTTCTTTGTTGGCTAGTTCTCAAAAACTATAAGAGCTACAGCCACCATATTTTGCATCCGGACTGCTGTACAAGAGCGAAAGTCGCAGTAGTCACCAAAACAGGAAGTACCAAAACGGAGGGACCAGCGAGAATCAATTTTAAACAGAGACGGGAAGGAACGTTGTGAATCGAGTTGGAACGCGTCACAACTTTTATATCCCCTGTTCGGGGATCTGATAGAAAAGGCCATTTTCTACGAAACTGCGTTTTTAGTTTTCTCGTATCTCTACAATAGTGAATGAGACAGAGACAGCTCTTATAGTCTCTGAGAACTATCCGACAAACAAGATTGACAGACAGACACATAGACAGACACATGAACATCGACATTTTGAACGCATATCGCAGTCCATGCTGTTATGTACTTTAATTAATTTTATAGTGCTGCTTGGACTACATATGGTTGAGGGTTGTAAGACTATGCTAAATAAGTTGTTTGAAAATTTTACGAAATGTTCAAGCATATTGTATATTATTGGATATATGTACACTTATGTACAAAAATATTCATAATATTGACATTAAATGGAAATGCATTATCTCTCATTGTTGTATATATTTGTGTGAGAATAACGAAGAAAATATGTTATTTTTTTTTCCTTATTGGATCAAATAATACTGAGGAATGTCTAGCATAAAAAATGATTTATTTTTTTATTTTTATTTTACTCGGCTTAATTGGGATAGTTTTTAAATTGCTTTTTTTTAACTTTAGAAAAAGTTTGGGTGTATAGTGTTTAATTATGGGCTATTTATCAAATCAGTTGTTTTTTTCAACGTAGGTGTAGTAATAATAATGTGATATAATAATACGACTTGTTCTTTTATTTAAAGTCTTGTGTGATATCTGGAGAATCAGGCGCTGGAAAAACTGAGACCACAAAATTTATTTTACAATATCTATGTGCAATTACTTCTAACGTTTCCTCTTGGGTCCAGCAGCAGATTTTGGAAGCCAATACCATTCTTGAATCCTTTGGTAAGTTTAAAATTCAGCATTCTTCGGTTACCGAGCCTTCTAAAGCTTTACTACTAGACAGGCTCCATAATTCTGCATTTTATTTTATTGGCAACCGAAACGCTTACTTTTTGTTTTCAAGCTCTGAAGAGGCGTTAGTTCTTTGCTCTTTCTAAAGGCCTCTTTTATATTTAAGCCCAGTACTCGGATGCGCTAAATTTTCGGTCAGCCGAATCAGGGACGGTATGCAAAAGAGAAGAAATTACCCCTATTTTTGTTCGACAGAAAATTTGAAACCGACCGATTAAATACCACCATGTCATTGCGAAATTAAATAGTATTTCTATATTCAGTCGATGGAAAGAAATACGCATACACACACATACCCCAAAATGGAAAGAACAAAGCGAAACAAGCGCAAAACGGCTGGATAGAAGCTTGTATTCGAACGAAAACTGATTATATGGATATTATAATATATTTATCCTATACTCGGTACTCATTTCATAAATTTGTAAAAAAACGAGAAGGGACGTGTGAGATGCGTCTTACAAGTCACAACTTTTATACCCGGTACTCAGTACTACATCTACACCTTAGCGGTGTTTTGTAAAATTTTAAATTTTTTCCTCATCTGTCACCTACCTTTAGCTTGCCGCCGGGCTTGCCTAGACCCAGACACTGCAGACTCGCGGCAGAGGCAAAAGCCGAAGCAGAGTGTGAATGAGAGAACGTGAAAAAAAAAAACAAATATAAGCTGCGGGTTATAAATATAGGGTGGGTTTAGCCACTGCAAATTAATTTCTTCATTGTTGCCATAATAATGATCCAATCGGATCCCAATTTGGTGATCTGATAGATATGGTCATTCGGTCCAACGGAATGGCGTAGTTTAGTTTTCTTTTATCCTCAAAGTTTACTTACCCTATTTACTCTACTCTACTCTATTTACTCTTCGAATACCGGGTATAATAAAACTCATAGTCTGGAGTGGACTGTCGAATAATTCGGTGCTTTCTTCTAGAACTGTTTTCCCTCAAGCTCCATTTTCACTCTGAAATAACACGCTCCTGCTTTTGAATTTTTAACGGGTTTTCTAGGTACTCTACCCAGAGAGCATGCACTTTTCCCCCCTTTCGCACAAAAAAAAATATTTGTCACAGTTTTGGGGCAAGACAATTTAGCGCATCTGAGTACTGGGCTTTAACAAAGATTTTATTATGATGTATCGCTCTCCCAAAATTGTTGGCTCACAATACAGCTGTTGGTTTAATTTCTTGAGTGTTTTCAGACAAGTCAACATCGGAAAAAATAAGTTATTCATGTATTCACATGCATACATTTTTTTCATTTCAATTTGACTTTTTAAGTGTGTCCACAACAAAGTTTAAAGAAAAGGACACTTCACTAAATTGATGCAATAAATTTTTACGTGTTACATATAGATAAGATATATGTATAGCTGAGTTATTTGAAAACGGCTCTTTTAATTTTTGTATTACGTCAGTGAAAGCACTTAAATTAAATAAACTTTGATTTATTGGTGGTGATTTCATTTCAAATTTTTGTATTCGATGCGAATTTTTCAGAGGCATCGGTGACGTATAGAGTGGTCAAAGTTGAGGAATAAAGTGTATACAAATAATCAAGAATTTCTTTAATGATGCATTTTTATTTTAGGAAATGCAAAGACGATACGAAACGACAACAGCTCCCGCTTTGGAAAATTTATGCAAGTGTGTTTTGATGATTCCAACTGTATAAAAGGTTGCATTATTCAAGATTACCTCCTCGAACAATCCCGTATAACGTTTCAAAGTGAAGGAGAACGGAACTATCATGTTATGTATCAATTGGTTGCTCAGGGGCTAAAAAATGTGGACATGGCACAGTCCCTGAATTTGAGACCTCCAGAATTTTATAAGTATCTTAATACTTCGGATACATTAGCAATTGATGTAAATCTTGAATCAGCTAAATTCAATGCTCTAACAATGGCCTTTACAGTTTTGCAAATTCCTCAAAGCGTAATAGATGGTGTTTTCAAAGTCTTAAGTTCGATATTATGGTTGGGAAATATTGATTTCATGGACATTGATGGTGAGGGATGTGATTTTTCAAATTCGGATCAGGAAATTATCATTAATATATCAAAACTTATGGGACTTAAGCCTAGTGATCTTAAAAAGGTTCTCCTAATGCGCCAAATAAATGTTAGAGGAAATATTACTGAAATTCCGCTAAAAATGCAAGAGGTAAGTAAGCACAACAAATTATATAATAAAAACAAGGAGGAACGTTGAAACTTGAGAAACTTTTATACCCGGTATTCAGTCAGTATAAGTATGTGTCATGCATATGTATGTATGTATTATATAAGGATCTGTATTGAATTCGTCATGGCTATAATAATGATCTAATCTGACAATTATTCGAGGATCTGATAGATATGAACATTCTTTACGGAACTGCGTTTTGGGTTTACTCGTTTTTTGGTTTTCAAAATTGTGCATGTCGCTGATGTTCGCCCTTTTTGGCGATTGGAATGGGGAGGTGTGAAATTTTGAAATACACTTGTAACAGTGTGATATCTCAGCAGTCTGGATGCCAAATTTGGTTGACGAAGCTTTTAAAGTCTCCGAAGTCCAGGCGCTCAGCAAGACGGACGGACAGACGGGCGGACAGGCAGACATGGCTATATTGACTCGTCTATTCATGCAGATTAAGAATGTGTACAACTAGCTTCCAGGGCCATCGACTGTAGATTTGTTTAAATACAAATTTTTTGTAAAGTTAGATTGTGTATAATATTTGTTTATGGTCTACATTTTATGGAGTAGTACATTCTTTAGTTTTATTTAAAGTTATTTAGATAGGATGGTATATATTTGTTTTTTACACATTCTGTCATTAGTTGCGTTTTCTTCGAAAGGATTTCTTAGGCATTGGGTGATATTTGGGTTTTTAAAAATGTGTTCAATCAAAGACAATATAAGAATAAGATGGTTCTGCATGGCTCTAGCTCTGGGTCCAGGCTCTCAAAAAATGCACATATTTGTGCACACGGAATCTAAATCTCCTTGCATGTATAGGTTTTTTCAAGTGCTTCAAATGCACTTTGTACTTTCGGAAGACTTTGCTCACTGTATATATGTATATATAGGATGAACGTATATATATCCTATGTATATCATATATCCTTTATATGAATGTCATTTGTTTGTATTATAGAATATATTCAATATGCAAAATAAACATACATAAAATATATTCACCTGCGAGTAAATGTCGGAAAGGTAAATCGTGTGTCAAGTCAATAAGCATATTTTGAGAAGTACGTTGCAGCAAACGATTTCTCAAAATTTCTGAGCTGCCTGAAATGTGTTACAGAAATTAGGACTAACATACTTTTGATAAAGAATGTGCTAGTTTTACCAACCAGTCAATCGGTAAATAGGATTTGAAAAAGAAGAAATTTCATGAAAATATATTCGTTTCGAAAATCGTCTGCTTGGCTTGTGCGTACTCACACATTCAAGCGCTTTCAATTTTTAGATTTCTACGCTCTCATATGTGAGGGGGTTGGTATTTTGGCTTTTCGTCGCACGTCGAAATTTCGCTTGCAGTCTGCTAATTCACTGTATGAATTCTTATATTGTCTTTAGTTCAACCGATACTTGGGTGTGCGATTGGCAGATCGGCCAGTAGGAATATATCCCTTTGATCTTCGAGTACCGGGTATAAAGATATTAATAAAAAATGGTAAGTGCTCGATATAAGAACATATACAAGTTGTTTTCCCCAATTTATCGGACACTTAACAAACCAAAATTTGTTTTTGTGAACTAATGGACATTTTTTATCGCCCTACTCGAAGATAGTAGAGAAATCTTGGTGTTTAGCTTGAAGTGATATGCACAAATGTTGAAAGTCTGTGGCATCTACAATTTTCAAAACATCATCATTGTTATATCCAGAACGAAGAAATTAATTTTCCATGGCTGAAGGAATGGTTTCCAATACAGCAGTACTAATTCAGTCTCTCTGTGGCTCATACATTCTTCCGCTTGCGGCATGTGCACGCCTAGCTGAGTAGAAAGTTTTTTTATGAAATGTTATGTAAATGTAAATGAAAGATCTTACGATAAGATATTTTGAAATTCGGCAAAGATCATTGTTATACATATATGCGTACTGACCTAGTACCGGGTGTAAAATTAGAGTTAGCGGCAATAACATTCCTTTCACATTGAAATGAATTTCAAATAAATATATATTTTTTCGTAAAAAACTTAATATAATATTTATAAAGCCAGAAATGTATTTAATATCGAAACCTCAATTTGGCTCGATGGGGAGAAATGCTGTTGAATAGTGTTATTGAGATCATAGTTAACTTTATGGTATTTTGAAATTGTCTTATCTTTTGTTTAAGGCTATAGAAAATCGGCATTCGATGGCCAAAGCATTGTACTCCAGAACCTTCACGTGGCTTGTTATTAAAATAAATAGCTGCACAAATCCTGGAAAAGATGGTGCTCAGTTTTTAGGCGTTCTCGACATATTTGGATTTGAAAATTTTACGCACAACTCATTTGAGCAACTTTGCATAAACTATACAAATGAAAAGTTGCACAAATTCTTCAACCACTATGTATTCGCCTTAGAACAATCAATTGTGAGTATTTAAGTATTTTTTGTAATTATTTATTATTAATTTATTAATTGGTGTAAATCTAACACACAAGCCGATTTGATCAGAGATCAGTGTTGGATAATTAAAAATAATTAAAACATAAACTGCATAATTGAATCTTACCCAACACAAGTTCACACATTTATGACTTTTTGGCATTAAATCATTTTCTTCACTCATAGTACCGTCCAAAATGTCCACGCATGCACAATAAGAATAATCTTTAGTAGCTCTAATTTATAGTTCCATCAGAAAGATGAACCTCGACTTTCTATGTTGTATTAAATTCGAAATTTCATAACATATACGTCTTGTGCCTTTTTTTCAGTATAAGCAAGAAGATATATTATATACACATGTAGAATTTACAGATAATTCACAATGCCTGGAGCTTATTGAAAAACCACCCAGATGTGTTTTTAAGTTGCTTACGGAGCAGTGTCATATGCCCAAAGGCTCAGACTCGGCCTATTTAAATAATATGCACACGGAGTTTGAGTTTCACCCAACTTATATAAAAGGTTCTGATCGTCGTCATTGGGAAACTGAATTTGGCATAAGACACTACGCTGGTAGCGTTATTTATGCTGTTGACGGATTCGTTGACAAAAATCGAGATGTTCAGCAAGATGTTTTATTTGATTATATGAGCCGTAGCGAAGATTTATTTGTAAAGGATCTTTCCAAATATCAGGTAAGCTCTTATTTTACCTTCCTACATTTTTTTCGCCATACAAGAAAATTAACGCGTTTTAAAGTATGTATGTAAAAGAGTTAACACGAAACTTCGGAATCATAAAATTAAATATTAAAATTCAGAATATATATACCCTTTACTCAAAGAGTATAGGGGCACATTGAATTCGGTACATGTATTTAGCATTCTGAAGGAAGCTTTTCTGGTTTATATAAATTCTTGATCATCATTGATACCTGAGTTTGTATAGCCATATCGTCCGTTCGACTATCTTTTCGGCCGTTGTAATGAGCGCCTACATCTCAGAGACTGTAGAGAAAGGCATCGGAATTTTGTGGACAGTCTCAATAATTTAATCGACACAAGAATTTATATCAAGCAGAATCATAGTGAATCTTCTAGATAATAATTTATTATTATTAGGTTTATGCTCTTTAGGTCTCTCGAAAAGTGGAGCTCCCTGTTCAACTAAAAAAGATATAACAGACGTTACAGGGAACCGTGCAGTAATTAAACAATAAATATTATCATAATACTTTAATTACAGTTTTTTTTTTGTTCGAGAAATAAATCTCACAATTTGATCATTATTTTTTAGTTTTATTTTTTTTACTCATACTACATCATTTTTATGTTGTAATTATTAATTATCATTAATAATTATGCTAACAAATGAAAATTTAAACATATTGGTGGATTTGCATTGTTTATCCTTAGAAAAGTCTATTGCTCCATTTATGTATGTAATTCTTCTGTACGGCTACTTTTAATGTATGATTTTTTCAAATAAAACGAGAAGGGCCGTGTGATACGCTTCTTACGCGTCACAACTTTTATACCCGGCACTGCGCGGCACAATGTGCAAAAAACAAATATAAGCTGCGGGTCGGGGTAGGTTTAGCCACTGGAAATTAATTTCTTCATTGTGGCTATAATAATGATCCAATCGGATCCCAATTTGGTGATCTGATAGATATGGTCATTCCCTACGGAATGGCGTAGTTTAGTTTTCTTTTATCCTCAAAACTGTAGTTTTGGGAGGTTTTCACCCTTTTGCGGGGGCGGAAGGGTGCGTTGCTAATTTTTGAAATACACTGGTTTCAGTGTGAGCATATAGCAGTCTGGATGCCAAATGAGGTGGCTCTAGCTCTGATAGTCTCTGAGAACTAGCCGACAAACAATACGGACAGACGGACGGACGGACAGACAGAAATGGCTCTAACGACTCGTCTATTGATGCTGCTCAAGAATATATATACATACAACCGTTATTCGCACAAGTACAATATACCCTATTTACTCTTCGAGTACCGGGTATAAAAAGAATAACAACACTACAAATCAACTTTTTATGATAGATATCGGGCATTTATTTAATGAATTATGGTTGTTTTCTATGGCAGAATTTATTTTGAAGAATTTTTAGAAGGTGGTAATTGTTTTAATTGTTTTTTCAGATGTAACAGTTTAATTTTTTATAATATTCTTCAGCCGTCCCTCTATATAGATTTTAATGAGAAATACCTTCAACGACGCCTTATGGCTATATGGCCTATATTGATGCTGATCAAGAAGAAAAACACTTGAAATGGTCGGAAACTTTTTCTTCTGTTCGTTATATAAGTATATTTTACCTTCGACCAAAAATTAATTAAAGCCCTTAGCACTCAAAGTTCTGGGTTTTAAAAGATTAAATAGCCAGATGTGACAGAGTGAAATAATTATAATACAACCGATTTCCCCTTGTTCTCTGTCTCTTACTCTCTTTGTATGTATCTCCAGACAATAAATGGAAAATTAAGATTGAATATCTAGTAATTGAATACCCAGTTACAACTGGCTCTTGTTAACGGTATTTATTCAGATATAGATACAGCATACCAATATAAAATTTTAAATTCGACAAAAATCAAAAGGTCACATATGCATGTTTGCATATCCCGACTGCTATGAGCTACTTTCATCGACGGTTCTTCCGTTGCTTTGGTGAAAATTGTAAGCCACAAATGTATTCAAGCCAAACAAAGGCCACCGAAGAGGCTATTTGTAGGAGTTACACCAAAATCTCTTCCAACAAAATTCGATATGTATACGAGGAGGAACCGTGTGAGTCGCGTGCAAGCGTGCCACTACTTTTATACCCGGTCTATAGTCAGTATGTCAGTCACTATACATACATATGTCTATAGTTTTTTATAGAATTACATTTTTACATTACATTTTCCAGTTTTGCTAGATCTGTCGTCTACATCTCCATCACTTCTCATACCATACCTCATAGCTCTTATTTCCCTGGCTGAGACTCACACTGCACGAGTGTGCGAGTGAGACTGGTGAAAACTGCAAATTAATTTATTCATTCTGGCTATATTAATGATCCGATCTGGCCCAAATTCTGCAATATAGTCATACTCTACGATATTCCGTTTTTTGTTTTCTCGTGTATTTTCGAAATAGTGGTTACCACAGATTTTTGTCCTGTGTAATGGTGGAAAAGGGCGGTGCGTTATTTTACAATACACTCCGGCCTAAGACCAAACGAAAACGATTTCTTATTAAGAATACAAAAGGTTATAGAGAAAGCTCGTGGAACCCCATTAAAACTAATAGATTACTAAATCTTCCAAATCTTGTTTTTTAGGATCCGCAGTTCCTTAACGTCATTCAAAACTATTCGACTTATCCACGGGGCTCAACGAAAACGAAATGTACAGTAAGTGATAGTTTTCGGCACCAGCTGCAATCTCTAATAGATGTTCTTCAAAGTACGAAACCATGGTAAGTTCGAGTACCTTACCATAATGTACTATGATATATTTAGAGACGAAAAGATTGGGAACTTCGTGAGACGCTGCAAAGGCCGCCGCTCCACTTTCATACCCTTTATCTAGTTCCATCGATTAGAGAACCCAGTCTACATGAGGAAGAGTTTTGAAGACAGAGAGGTGCTTTGCCACGAGAAATGTATTTCTTCCTTCTGGCTATAATAGACATTTATTTAAGGTACTCGAAGATTTAAAGGAAAACAGCGCCTAGTTCTCGGAGATAATAAGAGCTAGACTTCTGTAATATCACACTCTTAGTGTATTTCAAAATTTCGCCCATCCCCGTTCCGCCCATCCACAGAGAATGACCTATCATTATGAATTTGGATCAGATCACATAATTATTATAGCCTGAATGAAGAAATTAATTTTCAGTGGCTTCTCCCATCCCACCCTCCAGAAACAGGACTTCAGCTTGCTTATGTGCGACTTTGTACTGTATGTCCTCGTTAATCTTTTTTTTTACACCAATATGTTCCCCGCGATGGGGTTTGGTTGGAATAGGCTTCTGGGAATCCTTCGATGTAAAGGTAATATTTTGTAGAGAATATGCCAACAGATATTTCTCAATATTAGCTTAGAGCCATTAATACACAAAATAAAAAAAAAATTATAAAATTACTTATGTTATTTAATATTTAATATTTAATTTCTTGTCTATTTACAGGTATGTTCGCTGCATAAAACCAAATTCACTGAAGATGGCAAATAATTACAACGAATCTTTAGTTCTTGATCAACTTAAATATCTTGGAGTTTTGGATATTATTCGAATCAGAAGAGAAGGATTTCCTGTTCATTTAAGCATCACAGACTTTATTTTAAAGTACAAGTGCCTAATGCAAAAAAAGTCATATTCGTGTACACGTAATTATGTGGCCGATATATTAGAAAATCTTAATGTTCCCAACACTGAATGGCAAATCGGAAAATCAAAAGTTTTTCTTCGGTCTATTGCATATGATCCTTTAGAAGAAAAACGAAAGAATTTAATTTTTAATAATGCAATCATAATACAAAAGCACTGGAAAAGGTTTTGCTGCTTCAAAACATTTTTACTTTTCAAAAAGTCTGCCCTGAAAATACAACACGCATATAGAGGATGGAAGTTAAGAATTCGTTTTATCATCATGCGACGAAGTGCAATTTTAATACAAAGTCGATTACGAGGAGTTTTCGCGAGAGAGGTAAGATTAAACCATTTGTATTCTTGTAAATCGTTTCAGAGGTGATTATTTTTATTTATTTATTGATTTAGATTCAAATACAAAAAAAAAAAACGAGTCGGGGCGTGTGTGACGCTTCTTACGCGTCTCAACTTTTATTCCCGGCACTCAGTACTACATCTGCACCTTAGCGGTGTTTTGTCAAATTTTACATTTTTTCTTCATCTGTCATCTACATCTACAACACTTCTCACGCCAACACACTCCTTCAGCTCGCCCCCCTTTCTTAGAGCCACACACTGCAGAGTCCCGGCAGAGGCAGAGGCAGAGGAACGCGAGAGGCAGAGGCCGCACACTGCAGAAGCAGAGTGTGAATGAGAGAATGTGAAAAAAAGAAATATAAGTTGCTGGACGTGGTGGGTTCAGCCAAGGCTTTCATCATGGTCATTCCTTACGGAATAGCGTTTTAAGTTTTTTTGTATCTTCAAAATAGTTTGGGAGGTTTTCGCCCATTTGAGGGGGCGGGGATCATTTTTTAAATACACTTAAAAGTCGGCAGAGGCAGAGGCCGAGTGAAGCAGAAGCAGATTTTCGCCCTTTTGGGTGGACGGAAGGGGGCGGGGCTTATTTTTAAAATACACTTGTAACAGTGTGAGCATACAGAAGTCTGGATGCAAAATTTGGGGGCTCTAGCTTTTATAGTCTGAGATCCAGGCGCTAATAAGGACGGACGGACAGACAGACATGGCTCAATCGACTCGGCTATTGATGCTGATCAAGAATATAAAATTACCCAACAATTAATCTTTTTTGGATCAAATCTAGATCAATTAAAACCGCAACTAGCTGAGTTAACTTGAGTTGCACTAAGCCTGTTTAAACATATTTGTAAAAAAGGATACTGACGCCCAAAATGTCATCGAGGGAGTTATTGCAACCGGTACTGCTTGTGGCGGGGGTCCTTTTCTTTCCCACATAAATTATTCGAACAGGCGTCCAATAATTAAAATTCAAATATTAAAGGTAACATGTACAATGAACATTTTTGTTCATGTAAGGACCCTTATCTACTGTTTATATTGAAGTGTATCGCCCTTTTCTCGAAGCAGTCTAGATAATACTACTCGACACGATTTTGCCGCTTCGATCCAGACCAACTTTTTATGAAAGATATAGGGCTTAGACATGGTTTAATGATAATTTTTTATTTATTCCTTTTTATTTTTGTTTTTTGTTTAATTTTTTTCTTTTCTATGCCAGAATTTTTTTTAAATCTGGTGTTTTTGTAACGAATTTTTTAGAGGTAGCGCCTAATTTTTATACCCGGTACTCGAAGAGTAAATAGGGTATATTGTATTTGTGGGGAATAAAGATTGTATGTAACGCACAGAAGGAAACGTTTCCGACCCCATAAGGTATATATATTCTTGATCAGCATCAATAGCCGAGTCGATTGAGCCATGTCTGTCTGTTCTTCCGTCTTGTTGAGATCCTGGATCTCAGAGACTATAAGAGCTAGAGCCACCAAATTTTGGCTCAAATTTCCAGTGGCTAAACCCACCCTGTCCCTCAGCTTTTGTTGCTCTTTTTACATTCTCTCATTCACACTCTGCTTCTGCTTCACTCGGTCCCTGCCTCTGCCCTCCCCCTGCCACTGCCTTTTCCGACTTTTAACCCACCCCGTCCCGCAGCTTATATTTGTTTTTTTTTTGTGTGCGGGCGCTGCCTTTGCCGCGAGTCTGCAATGTGTGGGTCTAAGGAAGGGCGGCGAGCTAAAGGAGCGTGTTGGTGTGAGAAGTGTTGTAGATGTAGATGACAGATGAAGAAAAAATGTAAAATTTGACAAATAACCGCTAAAGTGCAGATGTAGTCCTGAGTGCCAGGTATAAAAGTTGTGACGCGTAAGAAGCGTCTCACACGTCCCTTCTCGTATATTTGTAAAAACTGTAAGTTTTAATTATAATGATTAAACTATAATTATAAAAAATGTTTAAAAACAATTCATTTCTTGATTTTATTAAAGTTTTGGTTAATTAGTGAGTAATTCATTGCTTAATTCACAGGTAACACTTGCATTATCTACATTTTTTGTAAGAGTTTTCTGATTGTAATCAATATTGTAAAGTATTGTATTCACTGCTTAATTCACAGGTAGCAGCTGCGTTAAGGGAAATGCGACGTGTCGATGAGGAAATGAAACGCCGTGATCAAATATTTGATAAAGTTTCTGAAGTTCACTTAGATGCTATTGCAGACTGTGAGAGGTATTTATAAGTGCCTGTATAATACTACTTTTTCATAACATATTTATTGTAACGAGTGAAATGCTATGCCGTATCAACAGCTCAAAAATTGCTAAACTCATCCGGATCAGACCAAATCGGCTTGACCGATGTATATTTCGTAGCTACGCGAGTATGTCAAAGAATTTTTTTATCGCCCGAACACGTATACCTGCTACTTCAAAAGTTTAGCGATTACCGTATATGTTTTTTGGTGAAAGTGAATGTGTCTGATTAGTATCGAAAGCCGAATTGATATAGCTAATAGAGTAGGGTTGCTCATAAGTGAGTGAACGAAAAAGAGTAGTTCACTTCAGTGAGTGAAATGAACATGTTCACTAATCTTTTGTTCAGTTGTTCATTTGAAAGAGTCTGTTATGGTTGCAGTGTCTATACTTCGTCCAGATCTTAGTATATCCCACTAAGTGGGATATTTATATATTTAGATTATATTTAGATATTTAGTATATCCCACTAGCAAAATAATTGAAGATTTGTTGAAGGTACTAAAACCTTTTCAACAGGTAACAGTGGAAATATCGTCGAAAAAAACGTTAATTATTTAATAGTCATTATTCTTAGCAACCCATTACTTTTCTTACTTATTTGAAAATGGAAAAGGTTGATATCAAATCTGCAAATCAATGGGTTGCGTTGGTTGTTGAGGAGCTGCAAGTTGATATGGAAACAGATTCAAAAACTTTGAAAACAATTTGTATGCAGAAAGCACAATTTTTGATCCTCTTCTTAAAGTTCGCCTTTTTCGGTCAAAGACTAGTTTGAAGACAGCTATGGAATCTTTGAAAACCAAAGTGATTAAAAATAATTTGGACATCCCAACGGAAACTGAAAAGTCTGACATCAACGTGGTGGAGGAGGAAACTGGAAAAAATGTCTTGTGGGAGATTATTTAAAGAGTCATCGAAACCAACTGAACATCTGAGCAATGTTTACAGACAGCTATGTCTGTCTTCGTGTATTTTTCAATTAAGAGAGAGACCGCGATTTTCATCCGCAATTTTTATACCCGGTACTCGAAGAGTAAATAGGGTATATTGTATTTGTGCACAAAGTATGTAACGAACAGAAGGAAACGTTTCCGACCTCATAAAGTATTCTTGATCAGCATCAATAGCCGAGTCGATTGAGCCATGTCTGTCTGTCCGTCCGTCTGTCCGTCCTGATGAGCGTCTAGTACTCAGAGACTATAAGAGCTAGAGCCACCAAATTTTGCATCCAGACTTCTGTATGCTCACACTGTTACAAGTGTATTTCAAAAATGAGCCACGCCCCCGCAAAATGGCGAAAACCTCCCAAATCTACAATTTTGAAGATAAAAGAAAACGCCATTCCGTAGGGAAGGGCCATATCTATCAGATCACCGAATTGGGTTCCGATTGGATGATTATTATAGCCAGAATGAAGAAATTAATTTGCAGGGGCCAAACCCACCCCGTCCCGCAGCTTATATTTATTTTTTGCACATTCTTTCATCCACACTCTGCTTCGCGCAGACACGTCTCTGTGTGCCTCTGCCGCGTCTCTGCTGATTCTCTACCCTGACTCTCCAGTGTGTGGCGAGGGTGGCGAGCTAAAGGAGCGTGTTGGCGTGAGTAGTGTTGTGGATGTAGACAACAGATGAAGAAAAAATTTAAAATTTTACAAACAACGCTAAGGTGCAGATGTAGTACTGAGTACCGGGTATAAAAGTTGTGACGAGTAAGAAACACCTCACACGTCCCTTCTCGTTTTACTTTGTGTGTGTGTGTGTGTGTTACAGCTAAAAATTCCAGCCCGGCCATATTGGCAGTGGAATTCATAATGTAAAAAAATATTCGAAATAGTAGAGCAGAAAGAACGGGCAACAAATACAACAATACTATGACGAAAGAGTGCGAGAGAGCGTGTCACAATTGCATGAGACTTAATCCCAATAGACTCGCCGAGAATTTTTAGCAGTGGAATCCCACAAACCGTACGTTCGCGAGCAGTATGATACATACGTACAAAGTACGCACCGTTATTTTTATGATTTTGCAAATACATACATTTACGAGAAAACTATACGATCTTTTAAATTCTTTTTATATTTTTCAGGATGGTGCAAAACGAAATCAATGAATTGGCCAACATGACCGAAAATATAGATTTATCTACGTTGGTCGATAATAATGCTCCCGAAAAGGTCTCAACAGAGATGTCAAACTTGCAAGACACCGTTGATTTAGACAATATTTTCGCCTTTTTAAGTGAAGTTACAGAGAATACGCCCCCAAACCCACTCATCGAGGAAATAAATAACAAAATGAATCACCTAGTTCAAGATCTTGACGAAGAAGTAAGTAAAAATATCTGTTCCTATCCTCAATATCAATATTATCATCTTGTCTGTCAATCGCTCAAGAAAGATATTCTTTTTTTTTCCTAGTTCTTCAAAAAAGATAACCCTACTGGACAAAAGCAAACTTTTTTTTCCTCGAGGAACCACACCGACTTTTTCTGATAAATTTGGTGCAGTCAAATATTTTAATGAACCATGGATTTTTTTTAAACATTTTTATAAATTTATATTTTGTAAAGCTTTTTAGAGGTATCGATTTTTTTCTCATAAATTAAGTTATCAAATCAGCGTTTTTAAATGTGATAGGTTTTGTATAGTTTTCATGTGATGTAGAATGGGTTCCATATGCGAATAACATTCATAAGGATATGTCTCGGAATTGAGTGTTCTATGTCGTAGGGTGATAATATTAATCGTTCTGGCTGAATCTAAGTTTTTCGTACATGTATTCGGGTTGCCTGGTGATGACTATTTTATGTAGGAACTTACGCGTTTTTTGGGCAATCCTTTTAAAAGTTTCATATTGAAAATGTTTTTTCAGAATGCAGAGATTCTGTCATTGTCCCTTCGTCCGAATATGTATCAAGCCTTTAGGAAAATGGATTCGATTTACGCCCCCAGAAAGCAAATGCCCTTGCGAAAAAATGCAAGTCTTTAACCCTTCGAGCCTACCACTAATTTCACACCTTTTTATTGCATCATTATTATAACCAGAATGAATAAATTAACTTGCAGTCCCTACGCTCACCCCGTCTAGTAGCTTTTTTTTTTATTTTTTCACGTTCTCACATTCACACTAGTGTAGTGTGAGGCTTTAGGGGAGGGGGGCGAGCTAAAAGAGCGTGTTGGCATGAGAAGTGATGAAGATGTAGATGACAGATGAAGAAAAAATGTAAAATGTGAAAAAACGTGCTAATGTACATATGTAGTACTGAGTACCGGGTATACTTGTTTCTTAACTGGCATGTGTTGAGAGTGATTTTCATCTTATATTTTTCACTAAATCATCGTAAAAGTTAATATATCTCGGTTTTTTTTATGTAATTTTAGATAGAAGTTTGTTTGCAAAAGGAGTCAGCTCTTCTTGAACGAGAGCAAGGAAAATCCATAACAGCCAAAGGCGTTCCATCGCTTCCAGAACCAACAATGCCACCACCGCCCCCACCTGTAACGAAAAACGAAATAAATATTCCTAAACATGAATTAAAACCTGAGCCGATATATGAAGCAATAAAACCTGCTGATTTGGGAACTGCCGCTAGCAATCTAACTAATTTGACGAACTCGACAAAAAATGACCTTCATATGCTTGGCAGTCAATCAAATAAAGAAAGAAAGAAGGAGATTAGTAAACCTTCTTCACCTTTATTGGTTAAATTTCATGTTGGCGATGAACGAGAACAAAGAAGAAAGCAAAGAGTGGAAAAGAAACTTCAAGAGCTTCACTGCAATGGGGAAAGTCAAAAAGAGATATTTGGCGATGATTCCCATTACAATATGGCAGAATTTGCTGAAAATTATTTTAATCAACATGAACTGTTACATGATGGCACACTAATATCTACATTAACACGAAAAGGGAAAAAAAATGTAGACACAATTCCTAAAAGTGAAATGATCATATTTTCCAAATGTGACAAAATTCCTACATCGCATATTCATATGTTTGATCCCGAAAATGTTCTACTGGCCTGTAATATTTTTCGAGTAAGTACATTCCTTTTTATGCCCGGTACTCGAAGAGAAGTAAATAGGGTATATTGTATCTGTGGGGAATAACGGTTGTATGTAACGCACAGAAGGAAACGTTTCCGACCCCATAAAGTATATATATTCTTAATCAGCATCAATAGCCGAGTCGATTGAGCCATGTCTGTCTGTCCGTCCGTCCTTATGAGCGCCTGGATCTCAGACTATAAAAGCTAGAGCCCCCTAATTTTACATCCAGACTTCTGTATGCTCACACTGTTACAAGTGTATTTAAAAAATGAGCCCCGCCTCCTTCCGCCCATGCAAAAGGGCGAAAACCTAGCAAAGCTATAATTTTGAAGATAAAAGAAGATAAGAAACCATATCTACCAGATCACAAAATTGGGATCCGATTGAATCGTTATTATAGCCAGAATGAAGAAACTAATATGCAGTGGCTAAACCATTAACATTCTCGCATTCACACTCTGTTTCTGCAGTGTGCGGCCGCTGCCTCTGCCTATGCCGTGAGTTTGCAGTGCCTGCTCAGTTTCCTTGAGCAGGCTCTATGAAAGGGGGGCCAGCTCAAGAAGTGGTTGGCGTGCGAAGTGTTGTAGATGTAGATGACAGATGAAGAAAAAATGTAAAATTTGACAAAACACCGCTAAGGTACAGATGTAGTACAGAGTACCGGGTATAGAAGTTGTGACGCGTAAGAAGCGTCTCACACGTCCCTTCTCGTTTAAATTTATTTTAAGTTGTTAATGTCCAACAACTTCGAGTATAAGCTGAAAATGACATGCAAAAAGAACCAAATTTGACATCGCCAACCACTAGATATCGTTCACATTACATTTACACATTACACGTAGTAAAAAGCCTACTAAATAAAATGCATCAAAAAAATTGGATCAGTTAATTCTATTTTCCAATTTATGAGATATTTAAAACAGCTATAAAATTGGTACTTTTTCCCTGCACATTCTGTGCAATAATGACCGCTAGGTTTCACAGCAGATTTTTCGAAGGTGGCGTCATCTATGAAAATTGCTGGTACGCAACTTTGATGGTCATTCTTTTTCTAATACACAGCGTTAAAAAACGAGTCTTGGTTTTAACTTTTAAAAATTTTGCTTTTGGCCACTGTTTCCGCAACTCCTCGCAACCAGTTCGGAATCAAAATCTCGAAATAAAAAGCCAAGTGCTGCTGGTTCGACCGAGTCGGAATTCAAATCAATTTAATCTCTTCTTATTTTCAATTTCGATATTCACCTTAAATGCATGTTCTTCCTCTTTCTCTATCGTATTCACATATTACATGTATGTTCTTTAGCAACAAACTTCTGTGAGTATGTCGTAAATGCAACAATTCAATATCTTAATGCTACAAATTCATTTTACTTATACAAACTACTAATTGCTCCCGGCCATAAGCCCTTTGCGCTAATTTGGCGTAAACAGCCACCAAAACTGGTCATTGGGACAATAGTGCATCTGCACCTCAGCAGTGTTTTGTCAAATATTAAATTTTTTCTTCATCTGTGGAATGGCGTTTTTAGTTTTCTTTTATCTTCAAAACTGTAGATTTGGGAGGTTTTCGCCCTGATGCGGGGGCGGAAGGGCGCGTGGCTAATTTTTGAAATACACTGTGAGCATACAGCAGTCCGAAGGCAAAATTTGGTGGCTCTAGCTCTTATAGTCTCTGAGAACTAGCCGACAAACAAGACGGACAGACAGACATGGCTCTATCGACTCGGCTATTGATGCTGATCAAGAATATATATACTTTATGGGGTCGGAAACGTTTCCTTCTGTGCGTTACATACAACCGTTATTCCCCACAAATACAATATACCCTATTTACTCTTCGAGTACCGGGTATACAAATGTCATTAATCTGGCTATAATAATCCGACCAGATCTTGTAGACAAGGTCATTCTCTACGAAACTGAGTTTTTTTCGAATTCTCAGAATTGTGTGAGCCAAAGATTTTCAGAGATATTTTGAAATATACGTGTAACAGTGTGATATCACAGCAGACTGACTGTATGCGTTATATCGGACAAATACATCTATAAAGTGTATCCAAACACTTTGTGGCTTTAACTTACCGTCTGGGATATATTATGTTTATAACCGCTACTCGAAGATTAAATAGGGTATATTGCATTTGTGGGGAATAACGGATGTTTGTAACGCACAGAAGGAAATCTTTCCGACCCCATAAAGTATATATATTCTTGATCAGCATCAATAGCCTAGTCTATGCATGTCTGTCCGTCCGTCTTGTTGAACGCCTGGATCTCAGAGACTATAAGAGCTAGAGCTACCAAATTTTGCATCCAGACAAAATGCTCACATTGTTACAAAAGTATTTAAAAAATGAGCCCCGCCCCTTCCGGACCCGCAAAAGGGCGAAACCTCACAAAGCTACAATTTTGAAGAAAAAAAAAGACAATATCTATCAGATCACCATTGGGATCAAATTGGATCATTATTATAGCTAGAATAAGGAAATTTATTTCCAGTGGCTAAGCCCACCCAGCCCGCAGCTTTTATTTGTTTTTTGCACATTCTCTCATTCACACACTGCTTCTGCAGTGTGCGGTCTCTGCCTCTGCAGTGTGCTGTTCTAGGGAAGGGGGGTAAAAGAGCGCATGTTTGCGTGAGAAGTGTTGTAGATGTTCATGAAAGATTTAGAAAAAATTTAATATTTAAAATGTGAAAAAAAAACCGTTAAAGTACAGATTTTCTACTGAGTACCGGGTATAAAAGTTGTGACGCGTAAGAAGCGTCTCACACGTCCCTTCTCGTTTTATTTATATACCCGGTACTCGAAGAGTAAATAGGGTATTTTGTATTTGTGAACGAAAGTGTATGTAACGCACAGAAGGAAATGTTTCCGATCCCATAAAGTATATCCATATATATTCTTGATCAGCACCAATAGCAAAAGGCGAAAATCTTCGGTATCCACAATTTTAAAGATAAGGGAAAAAATGTCATTCCGTAGGGAAAGACCATATCTATCAGATCACCGAATTGAGATTAGATTGGACCATTGTTATTGCCAGAATGAAGAAATTAAATTGCAGTGGCCCCACCCCGTCCAGTAAGCTAAAAGGGAGTGGTAGGAAAAGTGATGTAAATGTAGATGATATATGTAGAAAATGTAAAATGTAAAATATAAAATTCGAAAAAACCACAAAGGTACAGTTTAAAAGTTGTGACTAGTTAGATTCCAAAATTGTAGATATGAGAGATTTTCGGCGTTGGTTGGGTTCGGAAGGGGTGAAATTTTGAAATAAACTTGTATCAGTGTAATATCATTGCAGTCTGGATGGCTCTAGTTCTTATAGTCTCTGATTACTAGCCGACAAACAAGGCGGACGGACAGACAGAAACTAACACGGCTATTGATGTTGGGCAAGAATAAATATACTTTGTGGGGCCGGAAACGTTTCCTTCTGTGCGTTACATACATCCACTTTCGAGCAGAAATACAGTATACCCTATTTACTCTTCGAGTACCGGGTATAAAAATATACACACAGACGTTAGCTAACTTGATCAAAAACACTAAAATCACTATTACAAATTAATGAGGATGAAAGATGAAGATGAAAAACTGATCACATCCTATTCGCAGACCTACTTCGGTTTTTAGGTTATGTTGATGCGGTTGTCCAGATTGTCAAAATCCCGACTTACTTAGGACGGTTTCGTCCCGTTGTGATTCCGCTTGGATCCACTCCTCTTCTCCTCCCGCCTTGCACGGTGTCAGCAGTGGTCCCATTCCGATGCCCTTACAAAGTTTGCTATCTTCCCAGGAAGAAATGAAATGTCTTTAGAAAAAGTGAGCCTAGGTATCTTAGCCTTCTTCTACTGAGAGCCGGACAAGAGCAGAACAGATGTTCCACTGTCTCCAGAAGTCGGGGGGCACCAAGCCTATTTGGGTGGTTGCCTATTAGCTAATGCCAATTTGGCGGAGCAAATGACAACCCTGCACCTACCCTACTCAGTTCGCATAGCACAGTGGTGCGCTTTTTCGTGATGTCAGGCCACGGTTGTCAGGTGGTGCGACATCTTGGAACCATTTGCCATCTTTGTTCGATTGGAGAGTATAATACTCTTTTATGATGAGCATGTAAGCCTACCATTGGCATACGGATTTCCTCCTTATCTTGGTTAAGGGAGAGTTTAGTGCCGGATCTGCCCAACTCGTCTGCTATGCAGTTGCCTTTAATGTCATATTTTTCAATTTTTACTCGTGCCATTCCTCTCTGCGGGGGATAATAGCCTCGAAGGGGGTTGGTTTGTACTCCTTGGAAACGCAATATTTCGTTCTATGAGGTACTATGTTGGTTTGGCTACAGCTTCGTATATCTATTGAACTATACGTGGGTTCAGCCAACAGCCAGGTCCGATGGCTTTTTATACCCGGTACTCGAAGAGTAAATAGGGTATATTGTATTTGTGGGGAATAACGGTTGTATGTAACGCACAGAAGGAAACGTTTCCGACCCCATAAAGTATATATATTCTTAATCAGCATCAATAGCCAAGTCGATTGAGACATGTCTGTCCATCCGTCCGTCCTTATGAGCGCCTGGATCTCAGAGACTATAAAAGCTAGATCCACCAAATTTTGCATCCAGACTTCTGTATGCTCACACTGTTACAAGTGTATTTCAAAAATGCTTCTCTGCAGTGTGCGGCAGCTGCCTCTGCCTCTACCTCGTCTCTGCCTCTGCCATGACTCAGCAGTGTTTGTCTCTAGGAAAGGGGGGCGAGCTAAAGGAGCGTGTTGGCGTGAGAAGTTTTGTAGATGTAGATGACAGATGAAGAAAAAATGTAAAATTTGACATATAACCGCTTGAGTACAGATGTAGTACTGAGTGCCTGGTATACAAGTTGTGACGTCTCACACGTCCCTTCTCGTTTGCAAGTGTATAGGGCCATTGTAGACTTCGTCACTTTTTATTTTGTATTGAGGTTCCAGTTTAGTTTTTTATCTATTACCATCCTAAGGTTTTTTTGCCCAGCAGGGGGGTTCCTTTCTCCCTCTATGTTTAATGGAGGGACACGCAACCTTTAAGGCTTTGTTGCATGTCTCCGTGACTCGATTTACAAAACTGTTTAGGTTGTCTTGTGTATTAGGGCATGTTGGTGCTGTTGAGGGAAGAAGTTATTCTAGGGCTGTTGAGTACACTAGGACTCTCCAACCCATTATCGATTACTATTACTACTAGTAGTAATACACTAGGGTAAGGTCTATGGTCTCCTGTCGGATCTTTATAATGAATGTGGGGTTCTTGCCCTGATTATGAATTTAGGATGAAGTTGAAAAGTGACTAACCCATTAAATTTGTGTCAGAGCTCCCCCATTGGGTGTGGTGGGCGTTGGCGTCGCAGTCTATCAGGAGACCTGTAATTGACCTCTCGATGTCGATGGTTATCTTGCGAACGAGGTCGCTGGGAGCGTCGCTTTTCTCGTGAGCCATCTACGATGACACTTCCCTGTAGTGTGTCCGTTGCAGCTCTAGGCTGGCTGCTGTGTTATCGCCATCGCTAAAATTATGGATCAGAAAGATGTTTATGTGCTTTCTAGCTGGTATGCAGGTGCGAATTGTACTTTCGTTCGGCACTAAAATCAGCTTGTAGTTCTTCCGCACTAATCAACACCTTTGTGTCCTACCACCCAAGGCTCCTGGATTATTACTAGTTCGACTCCGCTCGCTTCCAAGCAGATTATGAGAGCAGCAGTTGCAGCTTTACAGTGGTGGAGATTTATCTGAAGAAGCCTCAGAGGGATACTTACGATTCTACACCGCTGTAATGTCGGCGTCTGACGCGTCGGATCTCTAATTTTGGCGCATCGCCTCGAGTTCGAACATCAGCTCCGTGTCCGTGGACCCGCCTTCAAGGGCCAACTCCAGCTCGTTGTCGGGTGCTTCAATCTCCGAGGCAGCACCCTGCTCGACTGGGGTATCGACAGGACGCGCCCTGGCCGCTGCATCCGAATTGTACAACTTTGTGCTGACTGAGCTAAGCCCGAAGTTGAGCTATCCTTTTGCTGCCTCCATCGGGGCCAGCGACTACTTGTTGATGACGACCACGGCTTGCTTCGAGGGGCCCTGCGTCGCTTTAACTTTAACGACCTTCCTTCCTTCCTGCCGTTCGAATTTTCGGATTGCATAGCAGCATTTTGAGGATGGTTCTGGCTCTTTCAAAGAGGCCGGCACCCATATTCTCGCCCTTGGTTTACTGGGCACCTCACTCCAGTGGACTGCGACCAGCTTCGCCCCTAGGTAGACTTCTCCGACTTGTGCTACCTCTGCTTTGTATAGCTGTACGGAGCGCTCGTCCGAATGACAGATTTGGCAGTATCTTGGATCGGTTTGCCGCTGGTCCGCCCCCTGGCTGTTCGTGACTGCCTACTTAGGCCTACTTAATATGCAACAAACATTTTATAAGAATCGGTCGAAAAGTTCAGCTACGAACGCGGTAACACGAGAGTAGTACATACGATTAAGCTTTAAAAATTAACGTATAACGATTTTTTTCTTTTTAGGAACTTTGGAAATATATGCGTGGAGAGCTCAATGCAGAGAGAGAGCTTCAAATTATTCAATATATTATTGGATTGGGCATTGAAAGAGAAGATATACGTGACGAAATATTCGTACAATGCATTCGACAATCCACAAATAATCCAAATGTAGAATGGACTGATCGAATATGGTTGCTAATGTGTCTATTAATTGTCGCTTTTCAGCCAAGTAAATTGTTATTCAGGTAATTTAATATTTGCTGAAGTAAAACGTTTTTATAACACTCCAACGCTTACGTTTGCATTTCAAAGCTTAATATTTTTTAACCGGTAAGCTAAAAACAAAATGTTAAAGGTATACATTATAGATGCATTTATCAGCTTTATGGAAAAGATAACTTCATTGCATCGAGATTTAAGATATTTAAGTTGTGTGAACAAAATTAGCGCTAAAAAGACCGTTACAAAAAATACCAGACTTTAATAATTCTTAAAAATCGGTTCTGCCATAGAAAAAAACATAATTCTTTAAAAAAATGTAAATCCCTCATTAAAAAAAAGTACGATTTTGTCGAATAGTGTTATCTGTTCATAATTGTAGAGTTTTACCTCTGAAAATATCATACAATATAATACATGTTGTAACGAACCCTTTTTCCGGGTCTCGTGACCTGTGCTGGGCTGACTCAGCGGGAAATTGGGTGGTTGCAACGAATTTGTATTGTTGCCTCGACGACCAAGCAAAAACACAGGATTGGTTTATTTCTGACAATTGGGGTTTTATTCAATATATTAATCTCTATAGCTTAGCCTAGCTTATGGCTATGTTATCGCTATCTTGTGACCTGCCGATTTCGGAAGGTTGGCTCCGGGCGTTGCACGTTGGTGCCGCTGAACTGGGGCTATTGATCTTAATCCGCCACACCAATTCCGCACTCCAACGGTTCGCCTTTCTCTACTTTTAACCTCGTCCGAAAATCTGCTGTTCACTCTGATTATGCAAGACTCACCTGGGCATTCGATGTCGCTGGTCCCGTTACGATTTCCGCTATTATGCACTTCGATTCACTTATTCACCAGAACACTCGACCTAGCTCTTGGGCTGCTCACGCGTGAAGCTCCTCCTGTGGACACTTCAGGGGCCTCATGAGAGTCTGCATCTCCACCATGTAATCTTTGAATGGCTCTCCCCGCCTCTGCTTCCGCATCCTCACCTCCTGCAGTAGCTTCTCAAAATATCCTCTTGGCAAGAAATACGCTTGGAAGCTGCTGGAGAAGTCTTTCCACGTCTTCCATTGCCGATTGTTGGCCACAAACCACATCAGTGCCCGCCCCTTCAGGAGCTCCGGCATCGCTCTTGGGATCAGGTCCGGATCCAGCCCGTACGTCTCGACGGACCACTCGACCTGCTCCAAGAACTCGAGAGGCTTCGTCGTTCCGTCGAACCGGAATGACCACTCTCTCACCTGCTTGGCCACCTTAGCGTAGTCCAGGGGTGCCGGCCGTGGGCCTTGTGGCTCATGGAACCCCCATTTCCGGGTCTCGGCTTCTGTCTCGGCTTGCCTGTCGATGCCGGCTGGGTGTCGGAGTGACCGACCGCTCGGGCACCGCCAGGCTCGCGATGAGCTCCTGCTGAAACTCAGCCGGGGACTTCCATAGCGCCGCCGCCGCCTTCCCTTGCGGTAGAGCGAGTTGCTCATAAGTGGCCGGCTTGTCGTCAGCCCGAGGCATCGGCGACGTTCTGCTCGCCCTACACTCCCAGACCTCCAGTAGATCCGCATACCCTGGCTCTCCGCCATGTTCTCTAACCCACTCTTTGAACGCCTTCCTCATTTCGTCTAGCGTCGCCTCTAATCGTACGCCAACCGCCTGAGCGCATTGCACCAGCTCCTATTTCTTCAAATTGTGGATCCATTGTCCTTTTCCCATCGTGCCCTTTGATCTATCAGACCACCTTTCCTTACGTTTTTTACTTTTTTTGGTCGTGAGGCCCCACGTTGGGCGTCAGTTGTAACGAACCCTTTTTCCGGGCCTCGTGACCTGTGCTGGAGACCAAAAACAAAAATGCACAACTTTTATACCCGGTACTCTGTAAAACAACTGTACCTTAACGGTTTTTTTTTTTCAAATCTTAAATTTTAAGTTTTGCTACATCTTTCATCAACATTTACATCTACATAACTTCTCACGCCAACATGCGCCTTTTACCCCCCTTCCTAGAACCGCACACTGCAAAGGCAGAGGCCGCACACTGCAGAAGCAGAGTGTCAATGAGAGAATGTGCAAAACAACAAATTGAAGCTGGGTTTAGGGGTGGGTTTAGCCACTTTATTTAATACACAATTAATATCTTTATTCTGGCTATAATAATGATCCAATCGGATCCCATCCCATTTCGGTGATCTGATAGATATGGTCATTCCCTACGGAATGGCGTTTTTAGTTTCTTTTATCTTCAAAATTGTAGCTTTGGGAGGTTGTCGCTGTTGCTGGGCGGAAGATGGCGGGGCTCATTTTTGAAATAAACTTGTTATAGTGTGAGCATACAGAAGTCTGGATCCAAATTTGGACAGACGGATAGACGGACGGACGGGCGGACAGACAGACATTTCTTAATTGACTCGACTATTGATGGTGATCAAGAATATATATACTTTATGGGGTTGGAAACGTTTCCTTCTGTGCGTTACATACAACCGTTATTCCCCACAAATACAATATACCCTATTTAATCTTCGAGTGCCGGGTATAAAAAAATAAAGCATTGAAAAAATGTATTGCCCCAAATCGATCTGATAAAGTCGGTTTGGTTTTGGTCGAAAAAAAAAAAAATGTGATTTTTTCGAGTAGTGCCAGTTGTGGTACAAGCAATGTGCGTATTGCACAGTAAAACACTTTTCCGCATAAAGTTTATAAGATTCATCAGCATAAATAGACGATTCAATGTAGCCATGCCTGTTTGCTCGTCCGTTTGTCTGTACGTCTTTCCAAAAATATTAATTTTGCTAAATGAAAGAATGTAAATAAATAAATGTAAATGGCATATGTAGGTAAAAATGTAATCAGATGAAATTTTGTAAAGCAGTGTCGCTGCTTCAGCAGCTTCTCATAACTTTCCTCCTCGTTTTAAAGTTTCTTGGTTTTATTTAATAATATTTAACTTTTTGGCCTGACTATAAGCAAACTTTGGTGTTTGAAATTGGTTTTACTGTCTTCAAAGTAATTTACAAAAAGATGAAACATTTTGATACATTTTAACCTATTTTCGGTGCTTTTTTATCTCTGAAGAAATTATCTCTAAATCGAGGCTTCATAGGCCCCTTTCGTCAAAGACCAATGACCCCTCAATTTTCTTATCTTATTAAATATAAAAACATGTTTCAAAAGGCAAATAGTCCCTTGATTGGATGTTTTCAGTGCCCCAATCCATATTCGGAGGTTGATTTCTACTCGATTTTCCTAAAAAATGGTTATTCCAAACAATTACGAACTTTTTAATGCAAATGACCATTGTGTTCTTAATAAGCTAAAAGTGATATTGGCCAGGAGCTTAAATAGCAGCAGTGTGACAGATCGCAGCCAATCGTGGAGTTTTTTTTTTCTCCGTCTTTGGAGCATATTTACATACATATTACATATGTTTGTATATATTATGCATACCGAACATTTACCAATGTATTGACTATATTTTTATTATATTAATTCATTTCAGATATTACGTGTCATTTTTAAAAAAAAACTTAAAAATGTTAGAGGGAAAACTAAGACAATATGCCCAGTGGTGCTTTGATAACTGCAAAAGTACAAAGGTATCTACGAGAGTATATCCACCATCTAGTGTCGAAGTTGCTGTAAGTATATGCAGCAATATAAGAAAAAGAAAAAAAAATTGTATGTAACATTAAAACAATATCCAGATATTTTGGTAAAAAATTATATACTTATATCTTGTACTCGATGAGTATATAGGATATACTGTATTTGTATCCAATTTTAGAGGTTTTGATTTTGGTAATAGTGTGATTTCTGACTGTTGACTGTTTGCACTTAGGCAGTGCTCGAAAAAAAATGTAACAGACTGCGATATTTTACTTGACTGGCATTTAGTATAATGTTCACCGTTTGCATTGATAAGTCATTAAGGAAACATTTGTAAACATATTTTTTCATATTTCTTAGTTTAATGCGAGTCCGGAACACAAGGGCAGTCCACATATTTTTACCCGGTACTCGAAGAGTAAATGGGTGTATCGAACAAAAGGATACGTTTCAGACTCCATAAAATCTGTCTGTCTCTCCGTCCGTTACCCCCCAACCCCTCCAGCAACTTTTTTGTGCTTGCTTATTGTTGTCTCACACTATGCCACATGCAGTGCGTGCGCGAGAAAAATGTTAAATGTAGAACTAGAAAAAAACGAGGAGACGCTTCTTACGCGTCACAACTTTTATACCCGGCACTCAGTACTACATCTGCACTTTAGTGGTGTTTGGTCATATTTTACAAATTTTGTTCATCTGTCATCTACATCTACAACACTACTCACACCAACACGCTCCAACACGTTAGCTCGACGCTCTTCCCTATACCCACACACTGCAGACTCGCGGCAGAGGCAGGGGTAGCGCCCGCACAAAAAAAAAACAAATATAAGCTGCTGGACGGGGTGGGTTAAAAGTCGGCAGAGGCAGGGGCCGAGTGAAGCAGAAGCAGAGTGTGAATGAGAGAATGTGAAAGGAACAACAAAAGCTGCGGGACAGGGTGAGTTTAGCCACTGCAAGATAATTTCTTCATTCTGGCTGTAATAATGATCCAATCGAATCCCAATTTGGTGATTGATAGATATGGCCATTCCCTACGGATGGACAGACATGGCTCAATCGACTCGTCTATTGATGCTGATCAAGAATATATATACTGTATGGGTCGGAAACGTTTTCTTCTGTGTGTTACATACATTCACTTTGTGCACAAATACAATATACCCTATTTACTCTTCGAGTACCGGGTATAAATAGAAGGTTACATAGATGTACATACATATGTATGTATGTATATCCATATATGCTGACTGAGTACCGGGTATAAAAGTAATGGTATTATTTAGCCTGACTTGTAAATAGAACGGTCTTATTGTTGTACAAAACATTTAATATCTTTAGTAAATATATGTAAATACATTTCTACGTTAAAACTTGTAGGCAATGCGACGACTCGGAACTATTGTATGCCGTTTTTTTTTCTTGGATGCTCGTACAAAAGCCATAGATGTTCACCCGACCGACACAGCAGGAGATGCTGTGCAGAAACTTGCTGACAAACTAAACTTAACTACTATTGATGGTTGGGCCATATATCAATCTCGCCCAGATGGCGAAGAACACATAAAAAATTTTGATTATTTATATGACATTATTTCGGCATGGGAAATTAAACAAACCTCCAACAACACATTAAAACGGATCTCAAATGGATCTACTTCTGGAGAAAATAGATTTGTATTTAAAAAGCGATTATTTAAATCCACTCATGAATTATCGCAAGATCCCGTCGAAGTCAGTATGTTATATTCACAGGCAGTATACAGCGTTGTTAAGGTAAGCAAAACTAATATATAGTTACAGGGGACATCACTAGAAGTTACTTCCGACTATTGCAAAAAACAATTCAATCCTCCATTTGTAGAAGTTGTATTAAAAATTAACAGCTAACTTGATCAAACTCAATAGGATCCAGAAAACCAACATTTTTATTTATATGTCCTGCAAAGATATTTTTCACTAACATGGTATTGAATCGTTTTTTGAGTGTGATATAAAAGCAAAATGCAAAAGGGATGCAAATTGTTGTTGCGCTGAGTCTTATAGGATAGACAGACATAACTTTATGGTGTCGGAAACGTTCCTTTTTCCCCTAGCCACATCCACTTCTTCCATAAAAGTTCCATAAAACTGTTTATTTTAATTAAAAATTATTTGCGTTGTAGAGTGACGAATTCCCTGTCAGCGAAAAAGTGGCTCTTCAACTAGCTGGACTGCAAGCTCAAGTGTCATTAGGAGATCCTTCAAATCAGCCTAAACCGGAATATTATTCCGACATCAATAACTTTTTGCCATGTCGAATATCAAAGACTAGAGAGCAACAGTTCTGGATTCCAATTCTAGCTCAAGCACATAGGCAATACGGATCATCAAGAAATGAGTTAACTGCAAAAGTACTATATTTAAGTTGCGTAATGCAGTACCCGCTTTATGGCACAACAATGTATAGTGTTATTTACAAAGGATACTGGAACTTTGTAAACAATATAATTCTTGGAGTAAACTGTGATGGAATAATGTTCATTCAACCGGAAGATAAGTTTGTTATTTACCAATTTAAATACGTCGATATCGAATCAATTATGTTGGATCCCAGCGATAGTTTTATAACTATATCACTGAATCGTAATACTCATCAAACGGTCCAGCCTCGAGATGGATGTTCTTTGATTGATTCGCAAAAGTGTTTTGTTTTTGAGACGTTACAAAAAGACGAAATCGGATCCTTAATAATTTCGTACTGTCCTTCCTTATCGAACTGGATTTTAAATATAACCGACTGCTCAAAAAAAAATAAAGGAACAACTCATGAAGATAGATCGAGGCTTTATCAGAATGTTGTTATAAGTAGAAGGCAATTAATCGACATGAACATAGTTCGAAAGCCTCAAGAACAAGGTGGGTTTTTAAGGAACACGCTAAGACGTCTGTCAAAGCATCGGATTGAAAAATTGAGAACTGAGCAAAGAGATAACGTCCAAGATCACGGTGAAACATATAAAGGCTTCTCCCATTCGTTTTGGGCTTTTAGTAAGCAACAAATTCCGTATTGCTTAAGTGCAATTTCTGATCAAGATGAATCAACTATGGTCCAAATTTTCGATTCGATATTAACATTTTCTGGACTTGGAACATCTGGTAAGTCATACAAAAAATCACCGATTTAACCAAGAACACACTCAGTTATGATAGGTTAGGTTAGGTTCATTCGGCTGTCAGGCTCAACATGAATCCGACTCAAGTAGGCACGTTGTGAGGCCGCTTGGGATCCTTCCTGTTTCTGCAGTGTGAGAAGCGTTGTCAGCTGCCATCTTATCCGGATGCCCCTATAAAATTTGGTATTTTTTCGCTATCGGGTATAAAAGTTGTGACTCGTTACATTTTGGTCGAACCAATTTGGTACGACCCCTAAAATTCATCTTTGGCTCCTGTTTATTTTTGAATACCGGTTATCAAACATTTACTTATTTTATTCTTCTAATGTACATTCAAATGACATATAAAATATAAAATCTTACTTTAACTTTTCTATGCAGGCGAAACTATAAAAAGGGCAGAAGATGAACATATACGAATTGTACAATCCATTATGGATAAATGTATGAAAAAGGAATCTTTATTAAATGAACTTTATCTTCAGCTGATTAAACAAACGACAGATCATCCAGATGCTAACTCAAGAATTAATTTAAAGAACTGGGCACTCCTGTCTGTAGCCTGTAGTGTTATTTTGCCATCGATTAAACCCATTCGGAAGTACTTGATTGCCCATTTAAAACGATGTGCAAGTGACTATATGTCTGAAGAGGGTAAATACGCAAGATTTGCTGAAAACGTAAGTAAAAAGTGAAAATGCTTTATTTGGATGTGTAGTGTAGACAAATAAAATAATGTTTTCCATAATAATAACATCGTAGTTTGCAAATGCCTCGATGTTATCTAAATTGGAAACAAAGAAACATATTAGTTTATATCCGGTACTCAAATAGTTAAGGGGTATATTTTATTCGTGGTCGAAATATGTTACAGAGAGAAGGAAACGTTTCCGATCCCATAAAGTATAAACATATAATCTTAATGTGTCCGAGTCTGTGTCTGTCTGTTCGTCTTAAGAGCTATAGCAACCATGTTTTGTATCCAGACTGCTGTGATATCAGACTGCGATTCTGTGCCAGCCACAATTTGAGGATACGAGAGAACTAAGAACCCAGTTTCGGAGAGAATAGCCATATATTTTAGAACCCCGAATAAGATCGGATCATTATTATAGCCAGAGTGACAAAATTCATTTTTAGTGGTTTCCCCGCACCCCTTCCAGAAGCATTGATTCATTCTCGAAAAAACTAAGGTTTGATACACACTGACTGAGTACGCGTACGAAGCGTCTCATAAAGTCTCTCCTCGGTTTTTGTTTGAATTCACGTGCAGTGGATATCGCATATCGCATGTGCATATCATGTCGATCGCTGATGTTTGTCCTTTTCGTCCATTTCGGAGTGCAAGTGAATTCCGGGCGATGTAATGTCGTTTAAACAAACCTGTTGTTGCATTGACCATCTTTACTTTTAAGTAATAGCCATCCTCTCCACGCCAGATCATCAATGGGTATCGAAGTGAATCATATATCATATATATCATATAGTTGCAATTGTCTGTCGCGTGATTCTACATTGCAACAATTATCACTGCGACTTCATTGATAGCACAGCTCGACAAAACGTTACTTTTTATTTACTTTTTCTGATATAAATTTTTTTCTTAAAGAACTATGTTTTTTTTATATACTAGACATGTTTTTAAAGAATTGTTTAAAATAAAAGTATTAACCAAATCTACCCAGCCGTTTTCACGTGATGGTGCTCTGCACATTTGATTCTCTCCGTTATCATATATATAGATTTCTGATTTCTCTTTTTTTTTAATTATTTTAGTGTTTTTTTAGAACTCAAGGCACAAGACGACGTCAGTGGACTCCAAGCTGCGAAGAGATATTGTGTACCACAAATCGACGACCATGCTACTCGAAGTTTTATTTTATGGATGGTCAATATTATTCAATTGAATTTCAGCCCAGTTCTACAGCAAATGATGTGATGGAAATCATAAAAAAGAAAATCGGACTGCAAGAAAACTCAAAGGGTTATTCCATATATGAAGTGATTGGAAACACAGAAAGAAGTCTCTTGTCAGAGGAGAAAGTATGTGATGTAATGGCCAAATGGGAAAAATATCGAAGTACATCACAACAAGGAACACCATATCAGGTGAGACTTTACAAATATTGCCGTGGCTATCAGTTTTATTAAAAAAAGACTATAGGAATATTTACAATAAATACCACCAAATTAAATATTTATCTAGCATGGTTTTTTATTTTTTATACCCGGTACTCGAAGAGTAAATAGAATAATATATATTGTATTTGTGCACAAAGTGAATGAATGTAACACACAGAAGGAAACGTTTCCGACCCCATAAAGTATATATATTCTTGATCAGCATCAATAGCCGAGTCGATGGAGCTCTGTCTGTCTGACCGGGTGTCCGTCCGTCTTGTTTGTCGGCTAGTTCTCAGAGACCATAAAAGCTAGAGCCACAAAATGTTGCATCTAGACTTCTGTATGCTCACACTGTTACAAGTGTATTTCAAAAATTAGCCACACCTTCCGTTCCCCTCAAGAGCGCGAAAACCTCCCAAATCTACAATTTTGAAGATAAAAGAAAACTAAAAACGCCATTACGTAGGGAATGGCCATATCTATCAGATCACCAAATTGGGATTCGATTAGGTCATTATTATAGCCAGAATGAAGAAATTGTCTTACAGTGGCTAAACCCACCCTGTCCCGCAGCTCTTCTTTTCGCTGTTCTTTTCACATTCTCTCATTCACACTCTGCTTCTGCTTCACTCGGCCCCTGCCTCTGCCGACTTTGAACCCAACCCGTCACGCAGCTTATATTTGTTTTTTTTTTTTTTGTGCGGGCGCTGCCTCTGCCTCTGCCGCGAGTCTGCAGTGTGTGGGTATAGGGAAGGGCGGCGAGCTAACGTGTTGGAGCGTGTTGGTGTGAGTAGTGTTGTAGATGTATATGACAGATAAAGAAAAAATGTTAAATTTGACAAAACACCGCTAAGGCGCAGAAGTAGTACTGAGTGCCGGGTATAAAAGTTGTGACGCGTAAGAAGTGTCACACCAGTCCCTTCTCGTTTTTTTTTTTGTTTTGTTGATTAGGTTATGCTTATGCAACATAAGCAGTAGGAACGGTTCATGCATTGCGTATGCGTGTTTTCACTTAAAGCATGAGCTTTACAATGGATAACTTTACAAACTGTTTTATGCACTTTTAAAGACTGCTGCTCCAAACAGCGTATTTATACTCGGGATATTTAGGAGTGGATTAGGTCAAAATATCTAACATACAGAAGAAAACTGTTCCGACCCCATAAAGTATATACATATACATATATAGTTAATCAGCATCAATAGACTTTCCGTCCGTCTGATGCACGTCTTATAAGTAGAGTAGTTCTCAGATACTATAAGAGCGAGATTGTCCAACATTTCCTTCTAGGCCCCTGTGATATCACACTGTTACCAGAGTATTTCTAAAGTTCCAGCCGATTCCACAAAGGACGAAAGATAGAAGAAGGGAGAAGAGGGAGAGGATGGTGCCTGTAATGCTTTCTCCAGAGGTAGAAGAAGTTCTTAGATTTGTTTATACAATTTACTTATTGTTTAAAAAAAACAGATTGTAAATATAAAGAGGGAGAAAAAAAAAAAAAAAGATTTATTTGTAAAGAGCATTAATATTTTGAAAAACTAATTAATGCAGCTAAAAATTGAATACAAACACTTTGTGGTTTTAGTTTACCCTCTGGGAAGTATGAAGCTTTCAAATGCAAGGCGGTAAGTTAAAACCAGTTTTTGGGTACTGTTTATATGAATGTAGATGCATTTAACAGTTTTTTAGAATGACAAAGTTCATTACAAGTTAAATTTAAGATACTTAAGTCACATGACTTGACTACATAGTCATAGAAAACGAGAAGGGACGTGTGAGACGCTTCTTACGCATCTCAACTTTTATACCCGGCACTCAGTACTACATCTGCACCTTAGCGGTGTTTTGTCAATTTTAAATTTTGTCTTCAACTGTTATCTACATCTACAACACTTCTCACACCAACACGCTCCTTTAGCTCGCCCCCCTTCCATAGACCCACACACTGCAGACTCGCGGCAGAGGCAGAGGTAGCGACCGCACACAAAACAAAAACCAATATAAGCTGCGGGACGGGGTGGGTTAAAAGTGGGAAGAGTCAGCAGCAGGGGGAGGGCAGAGGCAGGGGCCGAGTGAAGCAGAAGCAGAGTGTGAATGAGAGAATGTAAAAAGAACAACAAAAGCTGCGGGACAGGGTGGGTTTAGCCACTGGAAATTAATTTCTTCATTGTGGCTATAATAATGATCCAATCGGATCCCAATTTGGTGATCTGATAGATATGGCCATTCTACGGAATGGCGTTTTTAGTTTTCTTTTATCTTCAAAACTGTAGATTTTGGAGGTTTTCGCCCTTTTGCGGGGACGGAAGGGGGCGTGGCTCATTTTTGAAACAGACTGGTTTTAGTGTGAGCATATAGTCTGGATGCAAAATTTGGTGGCTCTAGCTCTTATAGTTTCTGAGAACTAGCCGACAAACAAGACGGACAGACAGACATGACTCTATCGACTCGTCTGTTGATGCTGATCAAGAATATATATACTTTATGGGGTCGGAAACGTTTCCTTCTGTGCGTTACATACAACCGTTATTCCACACAAATACAATATACCCTATTTACTTTTCGAGTACCGGGTATAAAAACGAGTAGGAACGAGTGAGAAGTTTTGTACGCGTCACAACTTTTATTCCCGGTACAAAGTCAGTATATTCATATGTATGTATTTATGTAATCTTAGTGTTATAGTGTACAAGAAGGAAACGTTTCCGACCTCATAAAGAATATATATTCTTGATCAGCATAATAGCCGAGTCGATATAGCCATATCTGTCTGTCCGTCCATCCGTCCGTCCTTGTTGAGCGCCTGGATCTCAGAGACTATAAAAGCTAGAACCATCAAATTTGGCATCCAGATGGCTGTATGCTCACACTGTTACACTGTATTTCTAAATTTTGCCCTGCCCCCTTCCGCCCCCACAAAGGGCGCAAATTTCCTACATCCGCAATTCCGTAGAGAATGGCCATATCTATCTGATAACCGAATTGGGAGTTTATTGAATCATTATTATAGGCAGAAAGAAGAAACTAATTTGCAATAGCTTTCCCGACCCCGTCCAGCCAGCAGCTTTGTTTGATCTTGTTTTTTGTTGTCTCAAACGTTCCTACTCGTCTTTTACTAAATGTTTTTACTGAATGTGTGTGTATTAAAAAACTGTACACATTAAAATGCAAATCTTAGAGCTATCTATTAATTATATGTACTCAGGGCGTTGGGCTCAAAATCAATTAAAGTTCGTAAAACATTCGTATTCAATATTACGTTTCTTTACAGAGTAATGCGTTAGGATCACGACCGCAACATTATATATTCCTATTCAAAAAGCATTTATTTTGCGACAATTATATAAATTTAGATGATACAGTCGAAAAAGAATTGCTATACCATCAAAATCTACACAGTCTACGAAGCGAACGTTATCCAATAACAGAGATGGAAGCAATTATGCTCACGGCTCTTCAGGGGCAACTTGAACTTGGTGATTGTTGTGATGTATTAAATGATTATCGAGCTGTTGCAAGTCATTGCTTGCCTCCAAGATTTGTTCCCAACATTCCTCACGAAGCCGTCGCTATGCATCATCAGAGTCTTCGAGGAATGTTGCCAGCAGAAGCAAAAAAAGCATTTCTGAATTTAATACAAAGTTGGCCTCTCCATCGCGCCACTATTTTTGATGTAATGGTAAGTATGTTGAAAAGAACCTTCGGGCAATGTGGAACCCCTTCCAAAAAAAAATATATATATGCTGGATATTTCGATCAATTGAAAGCCAACACCACTAGCTTATTAGTTTAAACCTTTAACCTCGCTGTCTAAAAAAAAAATATATTTATTTAGTTATCTTATATCTTATATCTTTATTTTTCAGCAAAGCTTCACCTCAAACTGGCCACGAATGTTATGGTTAGCAGTTGACCAAAAAGGTATTCATTTGCTGGAGCATCGATCAAGGAATATTTTATGCACTCACGACTATGATTCTATAATATCATTTTCACCAAATTTAAATTCATTAATGATATTTACTGGAACGGAAAAAAAACAATCCAAAGTGATTTTAAGTACTTCCCAGGTAAGAGATAAAGCTGAGAGCTCTATAGTGTGTATGAGTAACAAGTAATAATTTAATGACAGATATTAGATATTGAGTTAATTGAGTGAATAATGAGAACAAGCATTTTTTGTCTCTATCCAACTGATTTAAGCTACCTAAAACTTTCGTATAATAACCCTCCACTTTTTGAAATACACTTGTAAAAGTGGATGCAAAATGTGGTGGCTCTGGCTTTGGATCACTATTATAGCCAGACGGAAGAAATGAATTTAAAGTTTCTACCCCCACCCCGTCCAGCAGGTCCTTATATTGTACACATTCTCTTATTTCACACTCTGCTTCATGCGGCTCGAGGGGAGGGGGGCGAGCTAACGAGAGGGACGTGTGAGACGCTTCTTACGCGTCTCAACTTTTATACCCGGCACTCAGTACTACATCTGCACCTTAGCGTGTTTTTTGTCAAATTTTACATTTTTTCTTCATCTGTCATCTACAACAACAGCCACACACTGCAGAGTCCCGGCAGGGGCAGAGGCCGCACACTGCAAAAACAGAGTGTGAATTCGAGAATGCGAAAAAAAAACAACAAAAGCAGACGGACAGACAGACATGGCTCTATCAACTCGGCTATTGATGCTAATCAATTTCATTCGTTTCTACTCGTTTTGTTTATGCTTTTTTTTTTCAGAGGTAACGCTCCACATTAAGCTCACAAAGGCAAAAATGGTTAGATTTTTACTGTAATTTCTTTGAAATTGTGACTTTAAAAATTCAGGAAAAGTATAGAAAAAATAATATCCAGAGTCCTTTAATCTGTTGTGTATAGGTGCATTAATTCGGCGGCGTTTAAGGTATTGCCCAATTCTATGGAGAGATGAAACTTTGTGAGATGCGCTTTAGTGCGGACAAGACGGACAAATAGACATGGGCATAGGTCTCGTCGGAAAAAATTAGCACTGAGAATTGGGAAAAGGAGCGAGTAACTCTGCCACCGACGAGGCCTCCTTATATAGTGTAAGGTAGTCTTTTCGAAGGCTGAGGTAGCTCAGTCTCTCCAGGGCCACCTTACAAAGAAATTTGTAAAGTGCCGGGACCCGAGATTGCGGAAATGGAGACGCCGTGTGTGGAAAGGTGGGCGTATGGGGCGGAAAGGGAACCTGATCGACACCGGTCATCCGGTGGTTAGTGGAGACGCCTTCTGGCAGTGTAGCCGCCCCTGTCTGCTCCGACGCCCGCGTCCGAGAGCCCGCGGTCTGGCACGGTAATGACCTGCGACCAGCCCAGCGGAGCCTCCAACGGTGGGCGACCACACTTACCGTCTTGCACTTTGGGAGGGGGGAAAGGTTTAAATTTACACTGTTACACACGAGCACATGGTTTAGTTTTGTTTCTTTATTATTTTCTTAGTTCTTGTCTTTTTCCTATCTTAGCGTCGAAAATACATTTCCTACGTCCCTACCTATTCGCACCAAACTAAGCCATGGAAAAGGGATGCATCACGCAGCCTCGCTTACCCGATCCTCTCGAGCTAGGTGGGTGTGTGTCCTCGTCCCACGTGTGTCAATGCCCACTGACTTGGAGACTTTTCCGCAGCGATCGCGACTTATCCGTTTGGTTGCCAAAATCTTACTCCCCGAGGCGAGCTCCGCATGGCGATGGCGAACCCTTAGCTGCGGTCCTTTGTCCGGGCTGCGCTGCCGCTGCTGCCGTCGCTGCCCACGCCCGTGGCTTTCTTGGTGTTGGCCGCTCTCGGGCTGCTGCCGGCGCCCTTGCCCTCTCGCTCTGCTTCTCTGCTGCTGGCTCTTGGCGTTGATCTCTGGCTCTGCTTCTGCTGCTGGCTCACGTCACCGCTCTCTGGCTCTGCTGACGGCTCGCGTCGTCGTTCTCGTTTCGTTTTTCTGTTCTGCAATATACCGTATTTACACTTCGAGTACCGGGGATAAAAATAAGGATGACAGTCGAGGTTTCAAAAGAGTGGACCACATAATGCCATTCTGGATCCTCTATGTTCGATCAACTATATAAAGCCTTTAATTTTTTTTAACATTTCAATTTACACATCATAAAAATAATTATTAATTTTTATAATTATTTATATTTCTTTTTCAGGCTTTTCAAATTACAACGCTCATAAGGGAATATTCAGAAATAGCGAAAACAAAAAATTCGAAAATTAAGTAAATATTAACCTTTAATTACAAAAATTAACTATTTAGATAAATAATATAGACGTCTGAACAAAGATATTATACCAAATATGAGTCCAAATCTTGTTGATTGTACATAAATACATAAAAAAATATATTATTGTAATTAAAATAATTTCCGAAAATGTACTTAGAATTCACTCTCTTTGTGTGAATGAGGATACAGCTCAAAATAAAATAGGACTACAAAATCCGAACATTATGTCGCTCTATTCAACTTTCAATTAAATTCTGAATTAAAAACAATTTGTTTCAAAAGACTTGCAGGTTAATAGGTTAATCAGTTTCTTGTTGTCCTTTCCTATTTCGTATTTCCGGATAAAATATGCTTTATTTAAGGTATCGTTTAAGTCTTGGTAAGACCGTCTAAAATGCAGCCACAGCTCAAAATCCAAGTTTTTCGTTAGAAATCGTTTGGTACGTTGCTTATCCAAGTGTTGAGATTTGATCAATACAAACGAAATGGAGTCGTTATTTAGTTAAAAAGTGCGCAATAGTTTAATAAATACATTATATACATATACAAATAAATAATTATCTAACAAATAAAAATATTGTGTATGTTTATGTTTATATACCAACTAATCCCAAACAGTTCGACTGGCCTGTATACAATTTTTGTAGCATGTTTTTATAAGGCATGCGAATTGGTTATTAAGGATGTGGCAGCTGAAAATATAACAGACTCTTGGCTCAATAATTAAGCGTTAGAGTAGGGTGCACAAGTAGATTTTTATATTTATTGTTTTTACAGAGTTTGGGTTTTAAGAAAGTCATTAAGGTCTTCTGCAGGGCCTGCGGGCTTGCATAATGGTGCTTTGGTGTTCAATGTCTGCAAACTTGGATGACCTGCGGCAAAATGATGAAATGTCAAAAATTAGAATTAAGTGTTGAGATGTGTTGAGAAAAAACGATGCTCTTTGAAAGAAACCAAGAAGCGTGTGGGTTCCTCTACGAATATCTTCGAGAGCAAAAATTGTTAACTGAGTCCAAAAGAGTTGATGTACATGATTTTACGTGAAATTTCTCCACGAGCCAGAGTGAACAACATACAAGCTTCAGCTTGTGAATGTCTATCGCGTTCAGAAGTGTGTGACGTCGCTTCGGCCGGAGTATGCTCGCCGAGCCGGGTTCACAGAAATTTATTGGTTTCTGAAAGTAGTAGCTGAAAGAGATGTTTCCGTAAGATCAAGAATTGGGCTAGGATTAGGCGGTGAAAGAAGTCTCGTTTTTATTGTTCCTAAGTTTACAGAGTTTTGGATGTGAGGGGCCTTCTTCCTTCGGCTGGGTGCTCGGCCGTACGTGGCTGTGTACGGTGGGCCTGTCGTGGTTCAGCACACTCCGTGGAGAAGATCGATGCAGAGGTTAAGCACACTCCGAGGAGACGAGTTGTTGCGCAGGTTAAGCATTCCAAGATAGGAGTCCACTTCTGGCGAGGATTCCGAGGTAGAAGCACACTCGGGGAGGCGGATGCGGAGGTGGATAACGCTCTGGCGGGGATTACGTGGTTGGATTCCTCTCGGAGGTGGAGCACGCTCTGGTGGTGATTCCGAGTTTGAGGAACACTCGGGTAGTAGAAACAATAATAATTGTTTCATAATTTAAATTTTAATAGTTTGCTACATAATAGTAGTCTGTGTTTTAAACAGAATAAACATTTTGAAAAAAAAAAAAAAATTTTGTCCGCAACCAACCTTTTGTTGGTGTTGGACGCGGAAGGTTGGTTGCGGACAAAAGTTGAACGAGCCTTCTTCCCATTCAGACTGAGTCGCCTGTTCAACTTCTAAACGCCTGCGTGGATTAATCATTTGAATTTTTCGCAATCACAATTTCTGCTTGTTGACAGAGCTTCCAAAACGCGGAAATGGTGTACACAACAAATTCAGCATCTTCTCGATAGAAGTCAGATCAGCTTTCAGATCAGTCATTGATAACTACTGTGAACATAGAATATAAACTTGATCACTCCATATAAGCTTCGCTAAACTTGAGCAGCTGCAGATGAGGAAAGCACGATCGAAGGGCGTTATACATGATGGCTTGGGAGTCACTGAGCTGCGAATGTTTGACCAACTCAAACTGCAGCAGGGTTTTCATTTTTAGCAATGCAATGCCAAACTGCACAGGCAAATAGCAGATCGACAGCGACGTAAAAATTCGACTCCAATTTGTCCAACAGCTTCAAAAACCTTTCAGATCATGGCAGATCGCCCGAAGTCAGTCAAAGATCAGCACTGGCCACCACTTCACCAACTCTGGCTCTCCGAGACAGATCTGATATTTATATTTACGTCACTCATGGTTACCTAGTTTTCAGTTTCATTTGTGAATATTTATTTTACGGAATACTCCCCAAGAAACAGAGTATTTCGAGCCGTCGGCGCAGATCTCGCAGTTTCGAGCTTTAGTGCGGTCAAATGAATGACCGTTTGTCTCAACGGGAGGAGGCTTGAAGTCTGAAGATCAGGTTTCACAAGACCTGGAATTTCCTGTATGTAAGGCTGGCTCTTCCCGGCCACACTATTTTTGTTAATTGTTAATTTTTGTATTTCACCAACTACGGATATCTTTGTATGAGAGTAGCACCTGTCCGCCTTAAAGAATTGTTCTTTCTCGCCATATGATAACTGACTTTATTGATGGCCTATTAGACCTGTCTCCGTCTCAAGTCAACCATATGGAAAATGTCTTGGGTCAATTGATTGATCTGTGCTTTGTCTCGGATCACTATACCTGAAGACTGCTACCATCCTTCTTTCGAAGTGTCGGTCTATATTGGACCTTCCGTATCAGATCGGATGGGTAGGCCATCTCAACGCATCCACTGCTTTCGTGAAGGCGAGGCCCTAACCTCATTAGGGATTTTGATTGGTCCGCTCTGTACTTGTGCACTGACGCTATTAAAGGCACACGCATATTTTAAAAACTTAAATAATACTTAAAAAAATACTTAAAATACTTGACACGCTTTTTGTTTCGTGATCCCATTCTCTTGTCCGATTAGTTCTGGGGATCTGGGTTCACCAAAACGATATCCAGTCAAAAGAAGCGTTTTGAAATGCCAAGCTTTTTTGGCACCTATATTTATCCAAAATGGAATAAGAACAAGTTTCAAGCTTAAAAGTTGTAATTGTATATTTATACCGGCGGCTAGCTGAAGCCAATCGCTCGCTCTTTCTCCCAGACAGATAAATGATTACAGGTAAATAATGATTCGATATGCAACCTATGCGGAGAGATATTAGCACAGAACTGATTTCATCAGCGACGGCCGATCTTGGTTGTGCCTTCCCACAATCCACCAAAGTACGGAGAGCGCTGCGGGATGAAGTGCCAGTAGATCGAGTCAGCCAGGCAGGATTCATGGACTTCCTTTAGGTGAGAGTTGCTCACGCAAAGATTCCTCAACTCAAGCAGCTCGTTCTTGGCACCAACGAAGTTTGTCGCATTGTACGACCAAACTTGTCTTGGCCTCTTGGATGCGGTGGTCCCCGCTGGGGATGGAAAAATGCAGGATCGGCCACCTGAAGATTGGTGGGAATGTTCTAATCGGCTGCACTAACTGCCAGACTGGTCTGGGCATCGGTAATTGTGGGGGCGATGAGAGCAGTAAGTGTTGTCGAATACTCCGAAGTGCAAGACTGCATGCAAATGCTCACGGTGGATCCTTCTGTGGACACGCTAGTATCTCCCAGAGACAAGAACAGAGGATTGAGTTCTCCTAAGATAAAGCTGCTGGGCGAACCAGGATGTGACGAGATGCAATTGTGATCCAAAATCGAGAATGGCACGACAAGGATCTAGAACGCCAGACCGATGTTTAACAAGCACCACTGCGGTAGCCAGACGCTAGGCTCCTGAAGTCCTTGGGAAGCAAGAAAGGTAGACTCATGGGACTGCGCACTGCTAGCAGAGTTTTGAACAGTCGGAATAAATCCTGATTGTACTGGTCATTCTGGGAGCCTACCCTTACTCTACATTGGCCACTTGTGCAAGCACTAGTCCGATGCCCCGATTTGAGGCAGTTAAAGCAGAGCGACAGCTTCTCCAACGCCTTGTGGCGAGGGAAAGGCGACAGATGTGTGAAGATGTTGCAAGAGTATATTCCGGGGCCCGCTGAATGGCAGAAGCGGCCTCTCAGGAGCCAACAAAGGTTTTCCTTAAATGGCTTTTTCCCACCTGAGTGCTACAAGCGGGTGTCGTTATGGCGTTAATGCACGTTCTCCATCTGGTTTGGGTCTTCGAATCCAACTTCTGCAGAAGCATTTGGATTATCATGCATCCTGCTATCTCCTCAGCACTTCCCAATGTCTGCAGGATGGAGGCGCACATCGTTTTCCGCGGCACGAAATTTGTCAATTCTATTTGCAGAGAATGTTTCGCCAAGACGGTGAACCGATCGTATAAAGATTGAACCTAACGCTTGTAAAGACTCAGCCTTTTATCGACCATCGCAACAGATCAAAAAGGTTTATCTGCTCTGCGGTCTCGTTTAGAGACCTTCGGCAGTTATACACAGTCTCTGAATTGGACGAAATTGAGCCTAGTCTTTGATAGGCCACGTAGGGTCTGGCTGGTCATGCCCAAGTAAGTCGAAAATATCCTCTGCGAGCTCGCCTGGCCTTCGAGGATAACTGCAGTATAGTCTTCGTTACTAATATTTGGGAGCAAAAATAAGTGCAACTCTCTTTTTGCAAGAATGTAATTTTTTTTTAACCTTTGTTACCCATCCTTTATGTTATTTACCACCTCTGTGATATGCGTCCCAGGACCATGGCAAGGTCACTCGTGTCGCACTCGTAGTTGTCGAGGATGTCCTCCGACACCATTTACACTGAGTCCGGCTCAGGAAGGGGCTCCGGCAGTTCGGGGTCAGGCTGGACCTGCAACTGCTTACTTCTGGAGTCGGATATGTAGATTACTATAGTTATGGTCTCGTAGCCATACTCAACCTAACCTTCCGACTGTTTGAGATGTGTTGCCTTTGGCCC